TAGTTGCCCACCGTTTTCTGACTGTTTTGTAAAAATCGACTCTATGACAAAAATAATTTCCGATTTAAACAAATTCTTTTGGGTTTATTCCGGCTGGTGGAATTTGAAGGAATTTCCACCCCGTGTTGAGTATCCTAAGGTCCAGTTGGCAAAAATTAATCCACACCGAATTACAAATTTAACCTCGTTCCCAGACTTTATCGCGCTTTGGTTGTTTGACGGAATTGAAAATCTGACCCTACTTAATCGACGCCCAATTTATACATTTGCCTCAAGTCGAATCCTAATGTACGATGACTATACTGGAAGCCACGCAATTGATGTCCTCTTTGTGGAGAGGAAAATGTTAAACTTTCTCTCGTGTTATGCCGTTGGGAGACAAATCTCCACGTTTGGCGCGTTAATAAGCCCATTTGATGCGACTTCTTGGCTGGCTCTGGCGCTTAGTCTGATTTTGGTAACCATTTTCTTGGGAAGATTGATTACATTAGGGGGAAACAAAGTCGATTTCTCATTCGGTCCCTTGGTTACTTTTGGAGTTATGGTGGAAAGTTCGACTTTGTCTGGAATCGAATTCAGTTTGCTTGGAAAACGAGGAAATGTAGGATTTCGATTAGTCCTACTTGTCTGGATTCTGTCTGTCGGAACGGTGCTTACGAATTGGTACAAATCCTACTTTACATTTGAAATGATTGTCCCGTTTGAAATAACCGCGCCGTGGCGTAGTATCATCGACATAGAAGGATTTCGACTGTACGCGGGACCATTGTCACTGTTGGAAGAGGGATTCCAATTAACTCGAGAAGGCGAAAACAATATGTTTTACGTAGGTCTGCGACACGAATTACTCTCAGCAATGGAATACAAAGGATCCTCTAAGAAATTTAGGGACTACGCGAGAATTGCCGAAGTGTGGTTGAATGGGACGTTTGATGAAGAATTCGCTTTTAAGCCAGTATCGGATCGTTTAATCCTTCCGTTGTTTGAACCGGAAAAATTTGTATACAATGTGGCCAAATGTGACAGTAAAATCGCGTTCATCGATAGGATAGAGAATGTGGAGAAACTTGTACTAGTTTTAAATGAGTACTACCGCCACAATATGGATGTGGATAAAACGAGAAAGTATTTTAAAAAGGGTGACTCCAACGAGGAAAGATTTCTTTCTACCCCCATTGGTTGGGAGATGGTCTCGTTGAGGTCGAATTTTGTGTATGAAAGGTTAAAAATTGCGTTCTCTTCGGGAATATATTTCTACTGGAGGGGTTGGTTTGATAGGATCCGATCGGGAAGAGATTCATACAACTTGACGAACCAAGCTGATAAAAAGTATGATCTGGCGGATGTTGAGTTGCACTCGAAGATGTCGACAGCCTTCTACATTTGTGGAATATTTTTGGGCTTATCATGTGCTGTACTGGGAGTGGAAATTTCTATAAAATATTGGGTGAGCAAATCGAGAAGATTAGACACATATTGAAAATCGGTACTTCAATTGTATACAGTACACTCTAAATAAAATTGAGTATAATTCACTCAAGGTTGAGAAAAAAAAGATGACACAACCAAAAAGGAAAATTTGTCCGACCGTTCTTCGAAGTTTATGCAAAGTTGTGCAAATTTTGCTCAACCTTGAATAAATTTTACCTGTTGGTTCTGTCATCCTCATTTAACCCAACCTTGAGTAAATTTTACTCATTTTTGTTTAGAGTCCACTGCATGTAGACTGTATTTAGTACAAACTCTATAAAAAGCGTACATACATACATGTACATACTAAAAGGGTGACTAGAAGGGTGAAAAGTAGACTCTTAAAGGTTAATTTTAATGCACAGACAATAATAATCAAATTAAACGAAGTTATCCATTTTCCCCAAAATCATACATAGAATCTTATAAATCACGTATTGCAATCCCATGATTTTAGGCAGTGTGGTGTGATTTATCACACCCTGCTTATATAACGTTTTCACTACAGGAAATACTTACCCGCACAATAACAGGATTACTTATCACTAATTCATGTCCGGTAAATACATAATTAAACGGCTGCTATTGTTTCGCTGGAGGAAATTAGTAAAATGCACGCAACTATTATTCCATTGTTTAAACATATGTACATTTGTACATATTATATACTATACATCGACGGTTTCGTCCTAATTTGCCCAATTCGCAATTAACCCTTTGTCCGTGTGCATATCCTAAAAAGTAACGGGTTTGAAATGAAACTTTTTTCCCTTCGCCTGATTACAATTTCGCTCGGATTTATTTTTGTGGGGAGGATGGCAAGTTTTTTTTAGAAAAAGGCTACATTACCAGTTAATTTAGTCCAGTTTTTGGGGGAAATGTCAAAAATTCGTAGCAATTAATATGCATAAAAAAATACATAGTTATGAATATGAAGTCCAAAGTAGTCAGGATAGTTAGACTCTTATAGATACTATTGCGCTTTTGAAAGGTAAATTCATTGTGAATTCAATATCAAGTAAACTGTACCGAATCCAGAGTAAGTAATTCATAGATTAAGTCATCAAAATGGTGGGTGATTCTGTGCAGCCTTGTCTCACTCTGTAACATGAGTTAAATAAATACGATTTCGACAGGGAAATGATGGGTGGCTGATCTAGAAATCCACGACTTTTTGATGATGTAATATATGGAGGTTTCTTACTAAGGGTTTATCCTTACTTACAATGCAAGTCTTTTACGTGTACAACTCAGATCTGGTTGGGACCAATTTTATTTTGTTCCCTACAAAAAATAAGCATACCGTATTTTTTCATTTTTCATAATGCGCTAATTTGAGCGCGAGGCGCGAATTTTGAAACATTTTTCAGCCAAAACCTCGGTTTTTTTAAATTCCGTAAATTTTCGAATTTTAGCGCGAATTCAAAAATTCGAAAACATGTCTCTTCAGAATGATTTACTTGACTTATGAAAAATCTAGTTATCTCGAAATTTGAATTTCAAAATTTTTTGCCAGTTTTTGAAATTCATTAAAATTATAAACTCTTTTAAATTTTTACTTTTTTCAAAAACTAATGTATTTTGATTTTTTATAAGCCAAGTAAATCAATCTGAAGAGACATGTTTTCGAATTTTTGGATTCGCGCTAAAATTCGAAAATTTACGGAATTTTTAAAAAGCGAGGTTTTGGCTGAAAAATGTTTTAAAATTCGCGCCTCGCGCTCAAATTAGCGCATTATGAAAAATGAAAAAATACGCGTATGCTAATTTTTTGTGGTGAACAAAATAAAATTGGTCCCAACCAGATCTGAGTTGTACACCTAAAAGACTTGCATTGTTAGTATGGTTTACATATTATCAAATTTATTCTGCATTTATACTTCAAAAGAATTACATTATTTTTTAAGTGTGTGCATACATAGTGCTGCAAAATTCTTCCGTCCGTAGTAAATTTCCTTGCAAAGGTTTTCCCAGAAAAAAAGATCGCAATCTTGACCTTCATAAGTAATAAATAAATTCATCTTCACCTAGAAATCTTAAATTTCCACATAGGAATGCTGCAGTCCTCTTTCAGGATCCTGCAAAATGACGGGTGACTGCTGCCCCGATCTGGTTTGCTTCGGTGGAAAGGACTATTCATCCTGTGTACGTCTCCCTGAACAAAAACCGGGTCCGCCAGATCTGTATCCACGCATGAAATTATGCGGCGGCGCGGGGGATGTTTGTTCAAGTGGGGGCGACTGCTGCGACGGGATGATGTGCCAGGTAGGAGCGAAATTCATGTTGTGCGTCGCCCAAGGGAAATCACCAGGACCAGATATCCCACGGACCAAGATTTGCTCACATAATGGCGAAGGATGCCCAGACGACTCGACGTGCTGCAGTGGGAAATGTAGTGCAGCGTATGTTTGTGAATCAGCCTCCAGCCAAGGAGCACAAGGTATTATTTAAAGTATATATTTATCAAGTTCCACTAATCAAAACTTCTAAAAGCTATTTAATTCTTAACTCTGCGTTCTAAAATTCTAAAATTCTAAAATTTACTCAAATTTGTTTGGTGACCATGTACATAAATTTGAGATGAAACAACTGTTTGGATAAAATTTACCAAACGAAGGTTAAAGTCGATCCAACGTTGCATAGATAATTTTCGCTTACCCTTAGGGACATTTTGCACAACTAGTTATGTCATCGCAAATTTTACTCGAGTTTATTTAAAGCGTGCACTCTAAAAAATATTGGAAAAGTCGAAATTTAATATTCATAAAACTTCATGAAATCCATCGTCACGTTGAACTGGTTAAAGGTAAAGCTTACATTGGATTTAGTACAGTTTACTTAATGTAAAATTAAGGATGCATTAACTGCTCGAAAGGGTAGCATTATTTTTAAAAGTGTTCAAGATTGTAATATTTTCTAATGTCTTGCAAAAAGGGGACGACGCGTCAAAAACTGGGGGCCAATCCACAGATCAAGGTATAGATCAACAAGTTGTCAACGTAGGATTTGATTCTGACACACCCATCACTGGAGAAGTTTCTGGAAGTACGGATGTTCTTGGTGATGCAGGTGAGGTAAATGTGGGAGTGGGAAATTCCGACATGGGAGGACAAGACAAAGGAAGCGAAACAAATTCAGGCGGTAGTGTGGTTGCAGATGAAACCAATTTGGATTAAGATTTGAGATCATACGGATAATCTAATTGAATGTGAAATAATAAGTTCGGAATAAATACAATTTTGTAGTGAAATTTCAAAATCGAAATACCTCCTCAAAACCTGTTTATTCCACATTTTCACCATCCTGTTTCTCATTTGTGTGTTACTAACTAAAATTTACGTATGTCACGTCTGACTCATTATATACCTCGAGGAACCAAGGAAACGTAAGAAATTTAAGGAGCAATTTGCTTGTAAAATGATTCGAAAATTTTGAACACAAGGTTACACATTTTAATTCAATTAAAGAAATTTCACTAGCCGAAAACGTGCTGTAAACATTTCAATAATAATTTCACACAAATTTACATATCTTCGTAATTTAAACAATTTTATTTCACCCAAGAAAAATACAATTTAGATAATCCATGCTTTTATAACTATGGTAAACTAATTTTTGTAACCAATAACATCATCCATATTTCAAATCTGTTACTAATTTAATCAACTTCAATTTTTCCAATGCAGGAATAAAAATTTCAGGAGGACGTCAGGGGTGTCAATTATTTCCAAAAATTCCAAAGTTTTCTGAATACCTCAGCAAAACTAGAGGTCCCAACTGCCCCGGTATCCTTCTCCCCTGCAACGCTCAGTCCACCAATGTGTTCGATAAATCCCGCCCAACCAAATCCCACCGTGCACTCGGCCGTTGATTCATGTTCGCAGACAAGCTTTCCCGTGTCGAACAAATACCCGGGTGGGCATCGATACACGGTTTGTGATCCATCGATACACATAATGTACAGGGTGCAGTTTCCCTGATATGGAATGACAGCCGCGCCTTGGTCGGGACATTGGAGGGTGGGCGCTTCCGTCGTTGTGGTTGTTGTTCGGGGAGAGGCTGACCCGCAATCGACATCCGCCGCCTGATTGCACTCCGATAAGGACGGGTCAAAGAGCATGCCATCCGGACAAGTGGCGGGTGGCTCTTGTCGAACCCCGTTGACGCAGAGGTAGTACAACTCACAGAATTCTGAGAGAGAAAAATCAGAATTTTAAACTTTCAAACTTACTGTGGCACACATTTTCATCAGTACGTATACACACGCACTAGCTCAATTTATGTTACAGTATTAAATAAAATTTTAATTTCGCGGGCAAAGGTTTCACAGAAATTTTAAAACATACGATTTATCAGAACACTACATAAACTTCATTACTTCCTCCTCTACGTGAGTTATTTTACCAAAATCTGAGACTTCCTAAGTTTTTTATGCATGCGCATTGTTTATGTTGACAGGAAATTAGAATTTTGCGGATAAAGTAAAGAATTTGGGTATCTGAAGAAACAATAATCAATAAATTTTCACCTGGATGAGCAATTTTAGCGATCCCGCTCCCTGGACAGACGCCAGGTGGGAGTTGTGTCGTGGTTGATGGTCCAGCGGTATCTTCCGTTTCTGGCGCTTCCTCAGTCGTCGTGTGGGGCGTGGTAGTTGTGAAAGGGGCCTCCGTTTCTGGGGTTTCTTCTTCCACAGTCGATGGAGGTCCTGAATAGGTGGTGGATGTGGGTGCGGCAGTTGTGGGTGCGGTCGTTATAGGTTCGGCGGTTGTGGTGGGTTGTTCCGTTGTAGTGGGTAAACTCTCCGTTACAGGTTGCGTCGTACCGGTTGGAGGTCTGTTCATAGGAATAAAACAGGGTAGGGGGATGTCCATAAATTATGTCATGGGAAGGAGGGTAAAAATTTTTGGTACAGGTCAATTTTCATTAGATGTGAAATGGAAGTGAAAGTCTTTTGCGTGACATAATTTATGGACGTTCCTTCAGGAAAAGAATAGAGAAACTGACTTTATTTCCCTCAATCGCTGTTATAGATTCAGGACAAAAAATGTCTTACATTGCGTCTACCACACCCACTATAATGGGTTTGGCAGAAAACAATAAAAAATTTCCGGTTTTTACTCGTCTAAATACCAATAAAAAATACAATTTTGGAAATTTGTACTCCCAGATATACATTTGTACATAAGATAATTTTATGGTTTTTGTCAAATACGATTATTTGACGTTCTTGGTTTCGATTTTATTTCAAATTTGTACACTAATAATTGGTAACAATGGAAAGCTATTGTTCAAAGTATGCTAAATAATCTATTTTAATTTTATATTTTTATATACCTTGTCCCACCCACGCATTCTGGCACCTCACTCTGACGATCGCAAGTTTCTAGGATGGGGTTCCAATAAAGTTCTGATGGACACGTGCTGACAATGGGGTTCCCATTGTTACAAATGTAAAACAAGGTGCAATTATGATGTGACCACGTGTCCTGGCCGGGTGGGCAGATTCCTTCTTGGGACTAATGTAAGTTTAAATTGATAAGAATGACACCATTAGTAAATTCATGGATGCAAACAAAATTATACTTTCTTAAAATGAGATTTGCCAAAATTTCTAAATTTCTTAGCAATAATTAGTATTCCACGTATACTAAAATTAGTTATGAGGATTACGAGATTTTGTAAGATTTTGTCGTCAAAAGTCATGTTAAAGCGGCTAAATTTGACGAAAGTTGACCACTTGTTTTTTCTTCGTAAGCTATTTTACCATACAAAGGAGACGAATAGATAATAAAAAACTCTAGGAAAACCTAAATTTAAACAGAAAACATCGACCAATCACAGCTCAGAAATATTCTGTACTTTAAGATTTCTCTTTAGCAGGGACATTGATATGTTTTACTTTTCGTTGAATACAGTTGACAAAAAATCAATCTCACCTTTGCCCCAATTACAGCTATGGTTAAGTAGACACACAACTTTGCAAAAATTTGCATGATGAAGCGACACGATTCTTCAGCTAGGAGGTCAGAATGTGGAGTACGAGTTTGTCTCAAAACCTGGATAAAATGCGTCGCAGCCTAACCTTACTCTACACTCGAAACGATTACAATTTAACTTTTAATGATACAGATACACGAGGAATGTCATATATCATCTCTGATACGGGTCAACCCGAGCGACACAGGGGTGAGGATATATGTATATGTACGCAGCAGCGAGATCGGCCATGAATTCAACCCGGGTATAATTAGTTAAAGTTCGGTAGATAAGTTAAGGTCAGGGAACGTACATATATTACGTTTATAAAAACAGCGATTTTTAAATAGACCACAACCCACCTGTTCCGTATACTACATACATACATGGTGATAACGGTTAAGCTTAATAAGAGTAAGGAAAGTGATCTAAAACTTCCACCCATCATTTAATATGTATTTAAGAGTTTTGTGATAAGTCGACAACGGGGTATGTTTGTTTAGGCGTCAACCAGCACCTAGCCAGCCCAGCTGCATTTCATGCAATCTGGTACAACAAATGAAATTGCACGAAATGCAATTTATGTATGAACTGGTAAAGAAATGAATGATGCGAGAAATTAAAACAATATGCATGCGCCATCTAGTGCTTAAAGCTTTGTACTGTACTAAATTATACAGAGTGTCCGATAAATGCCACTTACAGTTACATATTTCCTGCATTTCTTACACCCGTGCAAAAAATCACACTACAAACATAATTTCTTGAAGTATCTATCTAATGTTTAACATGTGATGCACATTGTGGCCGCTAAATTGCGTTGTAATACAGCCCCAGTCAAACATGCAATGCCATAAATGCTGACTGGGAAGGAAATAGGTACCGGTGGCATTGACGTACGTACATTTGTAGATTAACGAGTGCATTTTAATTAAATTAATCAATCTATGTCAATGTGATCAACAAGTTTGTGTGTAAAGTACGAAATTGATAATTGACGTAAGTCTTCAGTAATTTCCAGAAACTCGATCACATTTAAATAATCAAAAAAAATATGAATTGATGTTATATAGTAATGCTAATCGATGATAACCACCTAGACAAAAACGAACAGCAAAAGTATAAATAACCGATGTGAACTAAAAATAAGTATCTGCATGTGATTATTTATAGATGTATTTAAATGGTAAATTCACGTGGACCTTCCGGCCACAAATGGTACCGGAAAATGTAACCCCATTTTTCATAAAGGGTAGTGCTAGCCATTCTTTATTAATGCCTCGATTATTAATTAACTATACGCACAAATGTTGTTCCCTTATCTCCATAATAAATATGTATCACGCTGATAACGACAAAACAATAAATTCCACGCTCGCGTGTAATTGTGTACAATTGATCACAACAACTCTTCTTTTCACGAATACGTCCAATTATACAAATATTATTTTAATATAGTTGTTACTTTCCGCAATTGGCATATGAATTTGTAATTACGTATGCATCACGGCGGGCGGAAGGAATAATTTTTGCTCAATTTGTCCATCTTTTCCAAATGTGTACAGTATGCAAATAATTGTCCATCTGGGATGAATTGAAATGTTTATGTACATATATGGTGTGTAGGCTGCTGTTTAACGAATAAAGTTTTAAAGTGTCTAATCTATTGTCTCTTTTGCATCAGTCTAATCTCTCTCCATGGCAACATATGTATGCATACCAGGGGTTTATGCATCGTCTGTGGCGTGGTGGCCTCTTCGGCGGCGTCCATATGAATAACTAGACGTATCTATGTAGATATACGAAAAAGGCAGCAATTGAAACATACTGGTACATAGTCTGAAATATGCCATATTTCTTGGAGAAAGTATATTTTCGTGTAACTATTTCTTCCTCGTCCACTTGAGATGAAGTTAGAACTAGAAGATGAGTTAGCCGATGCAAATTAAACCATTTATAAATAACTTTTTTTACTTCAACTTTCGGATATGGAATTTCACGAGTTTTAAATACGAGAACGAATTTTGCAAGTTTACAACTTGACCAGCGCCACGCGTATTAATAAATACACTCTAAATAAATTTGATTAAAATTTACTCAAGGTTGAGTAAAATTTGCGATGATACAACTGGTTGAGTAAAATTTACACTATGAAAGTTAGAATTTATCCAACATTGTAGAATTTTAGCTCAATCTTGAGTAAATTTTACCTTGCAAATTAAATTTTGCACAACCCGTTGTGTCATCGCAAATTTTACTCAACTTTATTTGGAGTGTATGTATATTGTTAAACAAAAGTTTACCTAATTTCCACTGAAGCCACTTACGCGGTGTCATGTAATTGCGTTGTAATAAATATTAAATTCTACCCTGTTAAAAATGTTATCAAGTCAGATACATACTCTGTGCTGGTATAGATTTAGGCATAGCTTCCTCCCTGATGACAGTTTGTTTCCAAGTGGTAAATTTTCATTGCCACAACGGTATGTGCGCATAAATACTTCAATTCTATCAGGTAAAGCCCGCATTGCTCAGGGTCATGATGATTCAACACAATTTTACTACTTAAAAGTGTACTCAATTTGTCAGGAGTGTAGTTGGGGTATTAATTACTAACTACGATTGTACACAAAATTGTGTAGATGTTAATCCAAACCGCGTAAACCAACACCAAATTTTTTCCAATGCATCGTAACCAACGCTACCGCAAACAAATGTTCATGCAAAATTTTGTCTTGTAGATTCATTTCCGAACTTCCGCATCGCCGGTAGATGTTTAGTTGGTTTTTTTAGAATTACTTGTATTGAACCCAATGTGCCCATTACGTATTTATCAATTCTAACGTATATTTTTTGGGAAACCTATGTATATAAATATTTGCTCGAACAAAGAATAACACAAACAATAAAATATATGTGTACCTTTCTGACCCGGAAATCCTGTACTTATACCGTGTCCCAGGGTAGGTTAGACAATGATCCATGACCTGTGAAATTTGACCTGATTAAAATATTTTTATAAAACCTTTGGGGTGGTGTAGGTGGGAATCCTACCAACCAGTTTTTGTACCGGAGGATTTTTCTTAATCCATTCCTAGCCACCAATCCGAATTTCCGAAACAACCCTCAAATTTGCGATTTTCACTCGCTTTCCAAATGATCTGGCTGATTTTTCGCCGTTAGCGTTTGAATTCTTCCAGCTTTTCTGCATTGGAGTTTAGGTTAGAGTATGTTGTTTTGCAAAAGGCATAAAACTTTTCGATTGGTTACAACTGAGGGACATTTGAGGGGTAATCTTTTTAAAGCACAAAATCGACTCCTTGAGCCCCGAAGTACGCGGTTCAAATTTTGCCGTAATAGGTGGTTAGAGGTCCGGAAAAAATCAAATTTCATTCCGATTATGAAGTTTCCTTATCCAGAGCTGTGACCGATTCAAAAACTCGTTTTTGTTAACTTTTGTATTTATGGTACCTTTTCAAATATAAGCTGGCAAAATGTTGCCAAAACTGCCAGGCCGTAGCCAAACTAGGAATTTCACAAGGAATTTGGTTTTCACTTCAAACTCACGTTGATATTCCACTTCCGAGGGGTTGGCGGAGCGAAAAAATTTCAATCCCGCAGTCTCTGAGGAGGGGAGCTTGTGAGGTTGATAATAACAGATCCTGATGCCCTTTGCATATGTGGTAGGGACCTATGAGTGTACTAAAACCCTGAAGTGGCTTGACTCCTTGGCCAGATTTTCCCCCGCCACACCCACTCAAAAATGCCCAAAAACGCTTTCACTCCAGTTTTCACTCACTCAAACCCACGCTAAAAATCCAATTTTACTCGGATTTTGAAATTTCTTTCACCATTACACTCCCAGATAGTTGCTTTCTTCAATCCAATATCAAACTCATTTTATTCGAAGTTTTTAGTATTTAAAAAATTTAAAATTCTGGATGAGCAATGTTGTTGTAATCAACAACGCAAATTATGCCTGCGAAATAATCATCATCAAAATTGAGTTTGATATTGAATTGAAGAAAGAAACTATGTGGGGGTGTAATGGTGAAAGAAATTTCAAAATCCGAGTAAAATTGGATTTTTAGCTTGGATTTGAGTGAGTAAAAACTGGAGTGAAAGCGTTTTTTGGGCATTTTTGAGTGGGTGTGGCGGGCGCAAATGTGGCCATGGAGTCAAACCACTTCAGGGTTTTAGTACACTCATAGGACCCTACCACATATCCAAAGGGCATCAGGATCTGTTATTATCAACCTCGCAAGCTCCTCTCCTGAGTGATCAACTTTGCCGTAGTGTCCGTCATAAATATCGATAATTTTTAATGACATTTATCGACAATATTTTTTATAATTTTTTTGTACTTTGCTTTAGTGGTCCTTAACGTTCTTCGGGAGACTTTGTTTATTTTTTTTCGTAATCCTCAGTTTATGAACTTAAATGTTGTGGAACAAAGATTTTGAAAATAGCAGTAACCGAGCAGCGCGATGAATTTACGTGGAAGAGTTAGTGCTGAAAAGTGTCTTTACGTCTTTTGAGATTTGATCGCTGGCTATCAAAAGAGGTGGCCGGGAAATTTTTAAAAATTGCACTTTTTGGCATCCTCATACTTCGAAATATAAAAGTAGCTTGCCGTTTTGTGACACCTTTCAGCGTTGAAGTACTGCCACGTCATGTTCGAGTCACGTCAAGCGACAATTTTTTAGTTGTGAAAAACTCGATTTGCGAAGTTCTCACTTTGACCCCTATTTCTATTGAATTTCGTGGTTTTAATAAAAAACGCTTTACATCTGCTGGAAGCCCTTGAAATTGCGTTTCGAAAAATGAGGATAGCTTAGCAACAATCCTCACGATTTGCTCAGTATACTATATAATCCAACTGTCTAACCAAGCCTGGGACATGCCTTATGTATCAAGAATTAAGCAGTTGAAGTGGAATTGTATCATCGAGGGGCGTAAATTAAAAAGGAACAAAATTGATCCATGATAGGTGAATAACTTGTAAATACAAAAGGCGTTAGGACATGGTTTTGACGAATTCATACCTTAATTGCGGGATGGTTTTTAGTCGTAGAGATTTCTAACTTGTTTTATGTGAAAGCCCATGTCTCAAACTATAGGTAAGCATATCTGGCTTCCGATTTTGTGTACTCTGCGAAATGAGGCAAGGTCAAATTTGGAGAGGTGTCCTTTTTTAGTTTTCCAAACCAGTGTTCTTAAAAAATGGCGTTGAACAAAAGATTTGTTTATTAGGTCCTGATGCAAAATTCGTCTTTGCGACTATTATCAAGGGACTTAGCATGTTTTTCACTATATAAAACCACTTTTATCTCATGCTTATCTTTTAAGTCCCTTTTGTAGTCTAGCTTCATACTTGTCCTAATGGAATACTCTCGTGAACGCAACTCCTCGACATTTAAGACCCCCACATTTTACGACTTTGATGCTAAAAATCCCTAACGTGGTTTTTATCCAAGGTACATATAGTATATTGCACTGTAAGTACTTTTGACACAATTTTGATAAGTGGTTAAACCCCACGGACTGAGTTTTCATCAGACCTTATAAATTTTTTGGAAAAGTTCCCGTCGTTTTCGATGTCGAACTTCAGAAATAATCTAACTAACCAAAACGCAATAATTTTATTATTTTGTCACTTGTACCTTGTAGATAAAATAGTTCTGCAGTAGGGGACGCAAAAAGATTAGTAAAATTTATTTTCGAAAAAAATTGACCATTAATTTTCCAAATAAGTTCACGAGTTTTTAGGATTCCGCGACAGCTGATTAGCTAGGGTCGTTCTCCAGAACTGTTTACACAAAATCTTCACTGTTTAATTTAATATTATTTGGGACACTTAGAGCTTTGCCCTCAATCTTCATTTGACCGAGTGGGTCCGCTTTCAAGGTCAGCAGGTCAATTTTCCTGTGCACGGTCCGATTTATCAATTTTCATGAAAAAGTATCAGCGACGATGGAGGCCCAACGTTATGTAATTGATGTAGATTCTTTTATTATTACATGCAATGATTATCAAGGGTTGTAATATTAACAATCATTCACCTCTGACCTCATAGGTTATCATGCTATATGAGAAATTCAGTTTGGAAAGTGTTTTTTTGGCTCCTTCCAACTCTGGGGGCACTGGAGGGGGCATTTATAAAGCTATCGGCCTAAAATTTTAAATATATCTTTTTGAGAGTATTATCTTGCAACTGACCAAAAATCAGTTCAAAATTCAACTCCCCGCCAGAGATATTCACCCGCAAATTCGTCAAAACCATGTCCTAACGCCTTTTGTAAATATGTACATAATAAAAAAAACAATTGATATTAGCCATTGTATGTATTGTTTTTACAAATGCGATGTAAATTGATCGGTGATCGGGGAATGACCTGAACATGGATGTAAAATTAATACATAAAGGAACAGTTTATGTTGACATCACCGTGATTGACAAATACATACTTGACCAAACACTCGTGATTTTGTAGTATACAATACATAAGCTACTACAAAAGTCCGATTGGACACTGGAAACCCATGTAGACTTATGCACTCTTAAACAGCGCATGTGACTTCCCATAAGTTGGTGATAATGTTTTTCACCGCATGGTGATATATCTTGCCAGCATGTGGAAAACTTCTTACTGGCTGGTGTTGATTTTAACACTATTTGGTGAGAAACATTATCCCGCGCGGTAAAGTCATAAATATAACCTTTTTTGGTGACGATTAACACAGGATTTTTAAGAGTGTGCCAATTGACTTTCGGTCATTGAATTTGATGCATTATTTACCAAACGCAATTATTATTGAACTCGATAACGTGATGGGAGTTTGTAGTGGCAGCATAAAAAAGAATAAGAGTAAGAGTAAAGGAGTCAGTAATATTTTCGCAACGGCTGCATAAAGACCACTTACATTACTATCATTGTCCAGAAACTGAACGTTAGCTGGTCCAGAATAGAAGTAAGCCTATTTATTTTTAAACACTTGTCTACTTCAGATACGAATTTGACACGAAATCAGAGGTAGCCTTACCATTGTTATGAGGAAAGTATTTTTCTTTGTATAAGAAGGCATTGTCATTCTGTGCGTACCACGTTTACTGTTTGTTTCATGCGTTTTACGATGGTTTAGGTATTTCAACTTACATATGAAACTAATTATGGGTTTTGTTTCAGATGGGAGGATACTTCAGTACTCCGTATGAATCCAAGTTCGATAGCAACCAAAAACTTATAGATTTAGTTAGTGAACGCCTTACAAAGCGACAGCGTAGTTTATGGAGACTGGGAAAGAATAGCGAATTTCTTGGGCCTTACAACCTCTCAAATTGCTAACCTTCGGCGCAATGAACGAAGGAGTGAATGTACGGAAATATTAATAAGAAAGATGATCGAATATTGGGTTTCAAATACAGCTACTCCACGCGTTCCCGATATCAGCAGATTGTTTAAGGAACACGGGTATAAGATGGTCGCAGGTATGTAAAATTAAGACTGTTTTAATTATCATCGCATTAAGGCCCCATATCTTCGTCATGGAGTTTTTAGCCTCACTCAAACCCTTGTTCACTATCATTAAATGCAATTTCTAGAATTGAGTCAACTCCATGAGTTTTGAGGTACACTGTGTCCAAAAAGTCCTGACGCATAAAATACGAGTAATTTTTATTGGCTTGTAGAAAAGTGGGAAAGGAAATAATTAATTTGAAACATTTGTTTTCAAGTACCCTAGTAAGTTGTGTGTCCACCGTCGTTGGTCATCATTTGGTCCACACGTGTTTTAAAGCTTTGGGCCAACTTTTGTAAAAGGTCAACCGGAAGCGAATTCCATGTGGTTTGGAATCGGGCCTGTAACTCTTGTCTTGTCGTGGGAAGAGGGTCTTGGTATGCTGAATCCTTTAATATGGACCATAAATTCTCGATGGGGTTCAAGTCAGGAGAATTTCCAGGCCACACCCCTTTTCCCCACACCGTTTCAAATTCGTCCTCTAAAATCTTCATCGTCGACTTTGCGGTATGTGCTGGAGCCCCATCTTGTTGGAAAACTATATTATTTCGACTGCTAAATATCCCACTGCTCATAGCCTGAGTATAGGTAGGCAAAATTTTGGTTTGATAATAGTTGGCGTTGATGGTTTGGCCCTGAGGAACAACGTGCAGTTGCGTGACGCCTCCGGCACAGAAGCCACCCGCCACCATGATCTTAAGGCTGTGTTTTGGCCTTAAAATCGGAGGAACGTCTATTCTTTCTTCTGTTCTGTATCTACGATTTTGAGAGTGACCTTGGCCGTGGAGCTCAATCCATGTCTCATCCGTAAATAGTATATTGGCCCTCAATTTTTGACCACGCGTCCCCGGCGTCAAAAATCCAGTTTCCTCCACCAACTGTCCAAATTTAAGTCTGTCTTGAACATTTTTTTTACTTAAAAGAGTCTTCTTTTGGCTCCGATATGCAGTTTTACCCCATTTTGTTGTCTTGAGGTAATTGTGCACGGTACTTTTTGAAATATTCTTATTTTTGTTCATATACCGGGGAGTGGAATTCAATATTCTTGCGGTTTTTCGTACAGATGCTCCACATTTTCTATACATTTTGGACTTTATTTGACGTTTTGTGGTAGGCGAGAGTACTCTTGGTCTTCCGGATCGTTTTCTATCTGTAAATTGTTTTTTGTTTCTCCACCGGCGAACTGTACTTGGAGACACTTGAACTTTTTGACAAATTTCTTTGGTGCCATACCCTTCGCTGAATAATGTTTGTATTCTAACTCTTTTATGTTCACAAGATACCTTGACCTTAGGACCCATTGTGGAAAAAATATAATTTGTCGGAACTTCCAAATATAAAAGTAATCAACAAAACAACGAGGCAAAACCGCGCGCGGGACGACAGCGTCAGGACTTTTTGGACACAGTGTAAACTCAACTTTTGATATTTTATATCAAAATAATTTTAATACCAACTGTAATAATTACAACTTATCAAAATTTGGGGCAAATATTACGGGGGGTTTCCTCATAAGAAGGGTGCTTCCTCCTTTAACGCAAAAAATGTACTTCTAATAAATCAACACAAAGATAGGCTGGAGACGCACGAAAGTGAGCAGAAGGAACCCCTGAATTAACAACATTTAATTTTTATGTTAACTAGAACGGCTTAATGCACACAAGGATACTGAACACGAAGGAAAGAGGATTCAGGACAATGTTGGACATGAAAATCAGGACCGTTTCTATGGCAGAAAAGACGAACTAAATCAATTAAAATCTGCCTTTGAAAACCAAACTCCATTGGCATTTATTCACGGGCCTGGCGGATATGGAAAAACAGAATTAGCTAAAAAACTTGCTCGATCACTAATCCGAGAGCAAAATATCAACGTTTTATTTCTCTACGGCGAATCCAAAGAAAAACTTGAGCAGTCTATCTTTCCGCTTTGGGAAAAAATGCGCGGCAAACCCCTTCCACAAAATACTCCGGCAGTTGATTGCATTACTTCTTGTTTGTCCTTACTATGCGGACGAATATTGATTATCATTGACAATGTCGATCGAAGAAACAAATTATTGGATGAGATAATCGCTAATCTTCTTAATTTTAAGAAAGAGAGCCCTTGCTTTGTCATTGTCACCACTCGTGACAGAAATGTTGTCACTCGCAATTATGTCGGCGATCTTAATATACTACTAGAGGTTTTCCCACGGGAAGTGTCAATACAAATGGTAAAGCAGGCGCTACCTAAGGAGACGGACTCCCAGATAGCACGACTCTGTGAGGAAATGGAAGATTGGCCGTTGGCATTGAGTCAAGCTATTTCCCACATTAGCACGTTCCGGTTGTCTTCACTGGTAGGGTTGGCATATAACATTTCATCTTACCTTCAAGATCTTAAACCGGAACCAAATACCGTAATCGACAGGAAACTTTTGTCAAAAAGGGAATATAAGTTAAGTTCCGGCTTGGAAGTTTCTCTAAAACAAATTAAATCTGAGAGTTGTGGCGAACTTGCACTCAAATTGCTTAATATGATATCATACCTGGATCCCGAACGCCTGCACCTGGACATGCTAACCAAATTTTACCAGACCATTTTTGAAAAATGTATTACTGATAAGCGAATCTCAACTGCTATTTCTAATAGGTTGCTTGAACTATCGTTTTTCCAACTTGCATACAAATTTTCAAAAGAAAATCTAGTCGCATTTGAAAAAAGAATGAACAGCATTAACAGTTTAGAGACATTGAAATTGGAGCATAATATGGCCCGCTCACTCAATTATATTGGCAAGCATGATGAATCTAAATCCGCATTCGAAATCCTATTAGAAAAATTCGAAAATCAGTGCCACCCAGATGCGTCGCAACTAAAGTTATTAGCAAATTTTGAATTTGCATCACTTTGCTTAAACTTGAACAACACTGATGGAGCTATGCAAAAATATAAAGAAGCCTATATATTTTCATCACAAAGTTACGGTGTTAAGCACCCACTAACGGTTAAGGCAAATCAAGGGATTGGTATATGCTGCATGAAAATTGGCAAATGCCAAGAGGCTCTGGAAAAGTTCGAGGATGTTTTATCAAAGAGAAAAAGTACCTGCGGGAAGGAGGATCCCTGTTATATTCGGACACTTTGTTACCTAGGCGAATGCTACTATAAATTAAATAATTTTGAAAAGTCAAAGGATCATTTCCTGGATGCATTAAAAACATTCGCGGCTTATCCTACTTGTTTTCATTCATCACACATGTCTGTTTCAATAACTATCAAGTTTTTATTAAAGATGCTAAAGAACCACGCCGTACCAAAGATGAAAATAATTCTTTCCACAGCAGTTGGTGGAAGCTTGAAGTACCCATATTTAATACAAGTAATGCGTAATTACGCTCAAGCCTTGGACCCCACTATTGAAACGGTTACTCTACTTCATATGCTGCAAGTAGAAAAATTGCTTGTGGAAGAGCTAGCTATGGATACGGATCGTCTGGAGGAAATAAACCAAGAAATACAGCAACTAACAGAAATTGAAAAGAGAAAAAATTCCGATGCCTTCGGAGATTAAGTTGTAACAAAAAAATCATATCTACTTCACGTAACCGTAACAGGTAGAACTTGTAATCTTAATTTTGGGTATATATCAATATATAAATAATCCTTTTCTTTAGAATTTAAAAATTACAAACCTAGCCTAATTAAATATGTAGGGCCATTATACTTAATTCATAGGTAAAAGATGTCCACTAACGTCGCGGACTTATGTAATAAAATGCTCAGAACTTTATACACAGTTAATGCAATTTCAAAAAAGTTGCATATGTTTACTACCAAAGGGTTTGGATTGCCATACAGTTCAAATTTTAATGGTTCAATTCCGCTGTCTGCTACAGATTGCATTTTCTTCTTCAGATTTCGCGTCAAATTTATCCCATAGACTGCACCTACTTTCAAGCTGATTTTCTTCCATCTGTTCTTAAATTTTCGTAAGGTGTCTGGCGTTTCTGAAAGCTTAGAACATTTGGACTTAGTCAGCGCTCAGAATTTCTCAATTGGTCGCAGTTGAGGAAAATTTGGTGGGTTTCCATTTTTTGGCACAAGTTCAATTTTTTTCAGATGTCGGTACTGAGTGACCTTTTTGGCGTCATAGGACCTTTCGAGGTCAGGCCAAAACAAAACTTTATTTTTTTATGATCTTTGGTAATAAACGATTCCAATCCACCTTTAATGCATGATTTAAGATAAACCCCCTGGTTTACAGTACCCTCCAAAATGACGGGATCGGAAAAATGACCAATGCTAGACATGCGTTGCCAAACTCTTCATTTTTTTGGGAATTGGTCTTTCTTTTGGACTTTGTCCTCATATTTTACTTCATAGGGGTTGGAACTATGGAAAAAATGCGTTCCTGGAAGATTTGAAGGGTCAGCTGTGACGTAGGGCTCATCGTCCATGATGACCACGTTTCCCCGAATTTTTTTCAACAATTTCTTGCAGCACGCATCAATCCTTACCTTTTCTGTTGGTTTGTAATTTGGTGCTGGTTTCTTTGTCCTGGCTATAATCCCCAGTTTGTGGACTTCGATTTTGCTAAGATAGCTTTTTGAAATGTTGACCTTGCTTTCCGCTGCAGCCATTGTCGTTGATGGATAATTTTTGAAGATTTTTTTTATCCAATTTTTGTCTTTTGTCGTCGCTACCTTTACAGGTCGACCAGTGGGGACTTTGAATTTGAGTTCATTGCATTCCTCGTACTTTTTTATGTAAGAATTGACATTTGAATGAAAAATACCTTTTTGCTAGAAAAATTGCCAAGTGATTTTAGAATCATAGTTTGTTCGATTTTTATGAAACTCAATCACTCTTTTTTTCAACTCTTGCCTTTCAACTCAAATTATTCTAGTCTTAGCCATGACTCAATAATTGGTGACATATATCAATGGAAAGCTTATAACTTGGTCTATTCAAAAATAATTTTTTCGAAATTTAATTTCGCTGTTTTCCCGCCTAGCGCGCCCTTTACGGGGGAGTCCGCGACGATAGTGGACCCTCTTTACAAACTGTTTTAACCTATATAATGTGGGATTAATCAGATGGTAAATTTATGTATATAAATTTATATTTAAAATATTACTTTAGTAAATATTGGCCCAAAAAGTGTCGCCTTACCCATCGTTAACACAATTTGTCTACAATTTTTAGCCACATGAATGGATAGATTTAAGAATTATCACGATAGTGTTAAATTATATTTGAACCCTGTATTACAAACATATTTGCAAAATCCTTATTTTAGAGATAAATTGTCTTATGGAAGTAACGGTAATCAGTATTTATGTATTTATCGAAAAGGTTCCAACGAAATAAAGCAATGCACTTGAAAGCACTCTTACTAGGGATACCCTTTCTATGATAGTTGAAAAATGAGTTCTAATTTAACTTTCTGCATGCACCATGATATGTTTTGATTGCAAAGTGCAAATATTTTTCTGCAAAACCAATTTGCCAATTTTTTAATAGCCTTCAAAGTTGGCGAAAGTGGGGGTGGACTAGGCGGAGTGGGAGCGTGTGGAGATGGGGGCGGTCGTGCCCCCCACTATACACTAACCACATGTGACGGTCACTATCATCTGTATGACGCAAGGAAATCCATCAGTAACTTATGTTTGATAAATTTAGTAACTTATGTTTACTTGAAATTTAATTAATTGTAAGAAAACTTAGTTAAGTGAATGAAAAAAATGATGCATGTTGATGGCATTGTGCGAAGTGGTAAGATCAGTTTGCCCAGTTTGCGCACCAAATAAATACTTAAATCCTGTTGTTATTTTAGTCATCAGCTCTTTCTCTTTTGTTAAAACTTCTCTGAAAATTGTTCAATTAAGTAATCATATTAGCAATTACCACTCTAAATATGGCGAAAATCATTAAAGTGTGCGAATTATTACTAGAATTAGTAAAACTAAAATATGACACGGCTGGACTACCTATAATTGACAGTGGTTTAAATCTAAACGACTTAGCAAGTGAAGGACTGATTTTAATCGAAAATTTACTTTTTAAATTAAATTTTTCAACCAGTACATTTGAAACGCTCGATGCATTAGAAATTACCAGTGACGATGAAATTGACATTTACGGTGACAGTGCTGCTCAAACCGACACAACTTCCGAAGAATCGTCATCGCAGGAATGGGAGATTGAAAGTATCGAACGCAATAATTATAATCTCGAGGAAATGATAAAGATGGGGGCACGTACGCCCCCAGCTCCACACGCTCCCACTCCGTCTAGTCCACCCCCACTTTCGCCAACTTTGAAGGCTATTAAAAAATTGGCAAATTGGTTTTGCAGAAAAATGTTTGCACTTTGCAATCAAAACATAGGATGGTGCATGCAAAAAGTTAAATTAGAACTCATTTTTCAACTATCATAGAAAAGGTATCCCTAGTTAGAAATAATCTATCCCTTTTCAAGTACCTGCACTCAGAATTCTAAATTAAGTAAACTGTACTAAATCCAGAGTAAATAGAGTCCAGAGTAACTCTTTTTTAATAAATGTTACTCCTGACTTCGCATAGTCTGCTTACATAATTTAGAATTAAGGTGGCATTTACTTTTCAAAATCGTACCAATATTTTCAAGGGTGTTATGAATTTTACTACCTTACCGGTACCTAATATTGATAATGTGTTAGTTTATTTTTTTAATACAGAATCTGTACCTATCTACAGATGCTTTAAATGGGGTGCGGAGTGAAGCACGCGGTACATACTTCAGTATGCATATGTAAATAAATATGATGGGCAGGAATATGAGTATGTATGCATGTAGTTGTGAGCCTCTAAATTTTCAACATTTACATAATTTTCAAAATTCCTGCTGACACAATTGAATCACCCAAATAGTTATTCTGCATAATGTTACATCATCCTAATTTTGTTTTATCGTCATGCTAATGTACATATATTTAGCACTAACGCCTTTGCAAGTAAATGAGCAAAGTATGCGGCTACTGTATGAATTCGACTTCTTCTACGGGCCAAACAATATTCCTTTCGATCTATGACATATTGGTTTCCCACCATGGTTACCTGAACTGTAGCGATTTGTTTCACTTAAAGTTATCCGCCTTGCAAAATAATTATTTAAGGTTAGTGATTACATTTTTCAGCAAGTGATTTATTATTCCAGATTATCATTCCGGATTATTTAGTAATCCGCAATTCAAATATATACATAGTAAATTCTGAAACAACTATTTCCAAAAATTCCAAAGTTTTCCAAACACCTTTGAAAAACTGGACTCTTGAATTACCACGATATCTTTTTCCCCTCCAACTTCAACCTGAACTCCACCCAAGTGTTCGAAAAATCCCGCCAAACTAAATCCGACCGTGCACTCGGCCGTGGATTCATGTTCGCAGACAAGTTTTCCTGTATCGAACAAATACCCGGGTGGGCATCTATACACGGTTTGTGACCCATCGATACACATAATGTACAGGGTGCAGTTTCCTTGGTACGGAATGACCGCCGCGCCTTGGTCGGGACATTGGTAGGTGGGCGCTTCCGTGGTGGTGGTTGTGGTTCGGGGGGACGCCGACCCGCAGTCCACGTCCGCCGCTTGATTGCACTCAGCTAAGGATGGGTCAAATAAAAGACCATCCGGGCACGTAGCGGGTGGCTCTTGTCGAACGCCGTTCACGCAAAGGTAGTACGACTCACAGAATTCTGCGCGGGACAAAATAAGGATTTACAATTTTTTAAATTGTAAATTGTTTTACCAGTATTAGAGCAAATTTAAATTATGATTTTGGGAAATTTATAACATCCTAAAAACCCGGACTATTTTCAGCCTCTTTTACGGATTTCTATATGCCAAATTGGCAGAGCTGGGAGATTAGTTGATTTTTTGCTCGGATTACGGATTAGGGATTGGTCACTAAAATTTTTGGATTAGATTGGGGATTAGAATTCAACATTGATTCGGGGATTGGATTGGTCTCGGATTAGATTTCTTTACAACAATGATTTGGATTGGAGATTAGGGATTGGCCAATCTGGATTAGTTTCAAGATTGGGGATTGGTTTTCACTTATATTTTGTTTAATGCATTTGTTTAACAGTTTGTTTTATGATTTCGCCCTATATAAATATAAATAAAAGTAAAGGGGACTGAAAAATTGAAAGATAAAAAATTTGATATACTCTAATAATTAGTCTGAAATTATTATGCAATTACAACAGCATATTACCCAGTTCATTGGACAAAGTTAATTCCTGTGCAAAAATGAAGAAGTATGGATTGCCCAATATTGGTTGATTTCAATTTGAAGAATTTTTTATAAGTATTTTGTTTTTAAATTGATACTTTTAATAATGGACCATTTCACGCCAAAAAATAAAGTAAACGGTTTAAATCATTTTAGAGCTGTAATAACAATACATTAAGAAGTTAACTGGTTCGTTTTTGTGTACAAGTTTTTTAAAAGTCAAAAATTCACTGGGTAATTTTAAGGAAAATGTGAAACACAGAGTTGCAAAACAATTAAAAACTAATCCAAGATCTATGACCAATCCAAATTTGGGATTAGCTTGGCAATATTTTGTTGGATTGGGGATTGATTTGAATAAATTTATTTTAGGGATTGGGGATTGGTGGATTATTTTCAATATTTTCAAAGTTTGGATTAGGGATTAGGGATTGACTAATCGCAATCCGGATTACCAATCCACCAATCCCTAATCTGGATTGTCCCAGCTCTGCAAATTGGCCTTTAATAAAATCAAAATCGTTCAATTTTAACCCCTCCTAAATCCTTGGATGAGAAATTCTGTCAAAATCTAAGATTTCGAAAGTTTGAAATTTTCATGGCTGAACTTTGACAGAAAATTTGAATTTCGCGGGACAAATAGAAAATAAGGAATAATTATCATGAATGAATTTTGGTTTATGAAAATCTAAGATTTTGAAGCTTTTTGATGCACGAATACATTCTGTTCACTTGGCTTTGATACAAAATTTGAATTCTGCGGGATAAAGAAAAAAAATATAATTCATAAAAGTTGTTGGGTTTTACCTGGATGAGCAATTTTAATGATCCCGGTCTCCGGACAGACGCCAGGTGGGAGTCGGGTCGTGGTTGAGGGGGTTCCAGCCGTGTCCTCCGTTTCTGGCTGCTCCTCGGTCGTCGTGTGGGGCGTGGTTGTCGTTAATGGTGCTTCAGTTTCCGGTGTCTCCTCCGCCGTTGAGCTTGGTCCAGGGGTGGAAGGTGGGGGTGTGGTTGGCACCGTCGTGATGGGTGCGGAGGTTGTAGTGGATTGTTGTGTTGGTGCCGGTGTACTCTGGGTCACGGGTAGCGTCGTTCCCGTAGGGGGTCTATTGAGAAGAAAGAAATGACGTTTAGGACATGTACACCCTGTAAATAAAGCTGGATAAAATTTGCGATGACACAACTGGTGTTGCAAAAAATTTGCATACTCTAGGATGAGCGAAAATTCTAAAACGATGGATAAATTTTAACTTTCATATAGTAAATGGTACACCCTAGTTGTATAATCGCATATTTTAATCAAATTTATTTTGAGTGTATGCGTCATTAAAAATTTGTGACGTGGTCAATAAAATTTGTTACTCGGGACAAATTTGTAGCATGCATGAGGGCATGCATGCTCACGTCAGCAATGAGTTTGTAAAACGTTTGCGAAATAATTTGCGACATTTTTCACCACTTTGTCCATAACAAATTTAAAGAATTTGGAATTTGCCAAAGACTAAATGGAGAGAAACAGCATAGACATTTGAATCTAAAGAAGCGAAGACACGAAATAAATTTGGAAAACGTAAAATATGTTGACTTTAGGGCACATTTTCTCCTCTTCGAATGCAAAAATCTCCAAAAAAAACAATTGAGAGATTGTGTCTTTAGCGAATTTCGTCTCAAATTTGTGGTCAATTTATACGAATTTCGTAGAATCTGACACTTTACTTTAGTAGACTTCAATTGTAAGTATGTTTATCTTAATCTTTACCTCGTCCCATCCACACATTCCTCCACGTTGTCCGGGAAATCGCAATATTCTGCTTCTGGGTTCCAATACAGGTTTTCTGGACAGGTGGCGACGATGGGGTTCCCATTGTTGCAGGCGTAAAACTGGGAGCAGTTGTGATGCGGCCACGTGTCCGCGCCTGGAGGACAGATTTCCTCATCTTGCGCCTTAATTTAGGAAAACAAAGATTGGGGACAAAAACTTTAAATCCAAATAGAAACTAAAAATTTGCAAATTAACTAAATACAGAAATCTAATTCTAACAATTTTGGTATTTAGATTGCAAAAATTTGACTAATAATTTTTTACCAATTTAATTGGTCTTTTTCATCTTTAAATTTTCAAATTTGGAGAAACTCTTACCAGCACTCCAAGTACCGCAATGATACCGAAGACGCATAACTTTGCGAAAATTTGCATGATGAAATACTTGCGAGAGGATTCAATGCCCAAGTTCAAAGGTGAAATAGAGGAGTAAGCTGGAAAATTCGAGTATAAAAATGCGACCTCGGCCCACTTGTAATCTGTGAATGGGGTTGATAAGAAGTCAACAATTTCCATTATTCAGGTGAACAATCAATGTCACGTTCGATCTCTGACATGAATTATCCCGACCAGCACGGATCTGTTCAGTGTGGTGACAAGATTACACAAATATTCAAAATAAGGCAGGTGATCCGGATAATAATATTCGATTGAATTATCGTCCATTTATTTACTACGACATGGATCCAATCCGAAAAATCCGATCCCAACTAATCCGATCAATACAGTTCAATTTTATGAGGACAATGCAACTCCATCCGATTCGAACAATACTATTTAATCCAATCCGCTCTGATTGGATTCATGTTACCGTAAATAGCCGGGTAAGCTACCCGGGGTATCAAATCAGGTCCGACCTGAAGGATTGGATATTGTCGGGTCAGCCCTATTTCTACACCCACATTCGACATCACTGCGTCACATACATATCGTTGTAAATAAAATTGTAACTTGAATATTTAAGTGATGAGTTCATATAATCATATTGCCTCGATTTTCCCGAAGAGACATTTCAGGCCGTTTTCCCCTTGAAAGCTTTTGTTCCTCGGGACTGATTACCTAAGTGCATTTTATTGGCAGTGACATTGATTAATAAGTGTATCACATCTGACAAATGAGTGTAAATTACATACTTGAAATTTGATGATTGACGTATGATGGAGCTGGGAATCGTGTGTGTCAATGATTTTGTGTAAACTTGGATCGGTACTATTTGCCCATATATTTAGAGGTTTATTTAGTCAGTAAAAATAGTGTACAAATTAATTGTGGGGCAGATGAGACCGATGGAGAACAGACCGACCGTGACTGGTTGACATTGGGTAAAAGAGTGGATCGGAATGATAATGATAATTTGGGTTTTATAGGAGGCCGGTCAAGGTGATCAGAGTTCAAGTAAAATGGAGACATACATAATAGGATAATTGAATTAGTTATGAAATGAGTTTACAATACATTGACTTAAATAGGAGTTTGAGAATGGTTCATAATTAAATTAGTCTGGAGATTAAAAATAAGGGAAATTAGTCATGAGATAAAATAAGTTAAGATATGGAAAAACTGCATGGCATTCACTTTACAAACGTTGATTTAGCATTCTTAACATTCTCCCCACGTTGAAGTGACCACTTCAAGATTTATTATCACTGTCTTGAGAAACGGGGAGGAGGACGAGTTTGGCGATTGGGCGTTGAAGAGTTCCATCCTTTGTGAGGAGAGTGACGACGCGAATGAGTCCATCATCGCCGGGATGCACTTTCTGGACTCGACCGAGACGCCAAGTCATTGGAGGGAGTCGTTCGTCCTTGATGAGGACAAGGTCGCCGATGGTAATCTGCTTGTGGGGCGTCATCCATTTAGGGCGTTGTTGGAGTCGTGTGATGTACTCCTTGGACCATCGTTGCCTAAATGTTTGGTACATTTGTTGTAGCATTTGCCACCGAGATTGTCGACCAGTTTTGAGGTCCGTTACGTCTGGATCGGGGGCGCTGGTCAATGGGGCACCGATGAGTCCAGTGTCCAGGGGTCAATGCTGCCAAGTCGGATGGATCTGAGGATTCAGCAGTTATTGGACGGGAGTTCAGCACTGCTTCAACTTGAGTGATGGTGGTGGTCATCTCCTCAAAGGTCAGCCGAGTTTGACCAATGATGCGGGTGAGATGATACTTAACAGATTTCACCCCAGCTTCTGCAAGTCCATTGAAATGTGGAGCTCCAGGGGGGTTGAAGTGCCATTGGATACCATCACGGGACAATTGATTGGCAATTTCTTGATTGTGAATTGGTGTGGAGGACAGGGCGAGAAATTTTCTCAATTCGTGGTTGGCACCCACAAAGTTGGTTCCACAATCAGAGTAGAGGTCTGTTGGGCAACCACGTCTGGCGATGAAACGGCGGAGGGCTGCGATGAAGGCGTCAGTGGTCATGGCGCTGACCAATTCCAAGTGGATTGCTCGTGTGACGCAGCAGACAAAAATTGCAAGGTATGACTTGATTGTGCTTGTACTTCGTGGGACCATGGGTCGGAGCAGGAATGGGCCGGCGTAGTCCACTGCTGCCTTGGTGAAGGCACGACACGGATGAAGGCGAAACTGGGGAAGATTTGCCATAAATTGTTGTAGCGTGGCGGCACGTTGACGAGTGCACCGCACACATTTTCGCAATTGGTGTCGAATCGCGTCACGTCCTCGGATGATCCAATAACGAGTTTGGATTGATGAGAGTAGAAGTTGTTGCCCACAGTGGAACAGATTCTCGTGCTCCTGGATGATGAGCAATTGTGTGAGTCGCCCAAGTCGAGGGAGGAGGATAGGGTGACGGTTGTCATACGGGAGTGGTGCCTTGTGGATTCTTCCTCCAACTCTGAGCACTCCGTTCTTGTCGAGGAATGGGTTGAGTGAGAGAATGGGACTCTTGGGGTCCACCCTTGGGGGCACTTGTTGTAGAAATTGGATTTCTGATGGGAATTCTTGGGCTTGCACAATTTTCACCCAAATGACGAGGGAGTTGTGGAGTTCGGCAGGGGTTAGTGGGCCAGTGTTGGCGTGACCCAAATGTGGACGAGTATTAACAGTGAAACGCGTGCACCAAACAGTAACTCTTTGCAGTTTGAGAAGGGATGAACAGTTGTTGAGTAGATCAGACCAGGGATGAGTTGTCGTAGCGTTGCAATTCACGATCTCCCTCCTCTCCTCCATGTCGATGGATGAGTCGGGCTTTGGATAAGTTTGACGAGGGGTAGGAATTCCGGTGCTCAACCAATCTGGCCCATTCCACCAAAGCTTGAAATGGGTGAAGGTTGAAGGGTCCAGTCCTCGTGATGCGCAGTCTGCTGGATTCTCCACTCCAGACACGTGTCCCCAATGATGCGAAGGAAGGCGATTCTGAATTTCTGTGACCCTGTTGGCCACGAAGCGATTCCACCGTAAAGGATGGGATCGTATCCAATCAAGCGTGACAGTTGAATCTGTCCACGCACTTTGGTGTTGAAGAGGTAATTTGAGGGCGTGACTAACGGTCTCCATTAGGTGGGAGAGAAGCACGGCGCCGCAGAGTTCGAGACGAGGAAGGGACACGGTCTTGGATGGAGCTACGCGGGTCTTCGAAGCGATGACGGAGATGAGAGGAGGAGAGAGATTTTCTGGATAACAGCAGAGGTAGGTCACGGCAGAGTAGGCCCTTTCTGATGCATCGCAGAAACCTACGAGGGCAAGTTTGGTGTCGGGGGATTGCTTGACACATCTTGGAATTTTGATATCTTCGATGTGCTGCAGTTCTCTCTTGTACTAGGTCCACTTGTCGGCAAGGTCGATTGGAACAGGATCGTCCCAACCAAGGTCAAGTTTCCAAAGTTGTTGCGTCATCATCTTGGCAGTGATGACAACTGGAGCGAGCCACCCGATGGGATGAAAGATTTTTGCTATTTCGGAGAGAATGATACGTTTAGTTAGGTGACCTTTGAATGTGGAAAGAGAAGAATCAAGTTGGAAAAGAAATTGATCAGAGTTAGGTTGCCAATAAATTCCCAAAGTCTTCACTGTGTGACCCAGTTCCAATGGCATGAGGGACTTTGTTTCCCGTAATTCCACAGGCAGTCGGTCGATAAGAGCTGGGTGACTTGAGTTCCACCGTCTTGCTTCCCATTTGGCACTTTGCATGAGGAGGAAGATTTGTTCTTGGATTTTAACTGCTTGCTCCAACGAGTCAGCACCGGACATCACGTCGTCCACGTAGACGTCGTTGCGTGCAACTTTTGCAGCGAGGGGAAGTTCCACTTCTTTATTGATGGCAGCTTGCTCGAGAGTGCGTGTAGCTTGAAAGGGGGCGGATGCTGTTCCGTACGTGACAGTCAGGAGACGATAATCTGTCACTGGAGAGGATGGATCCTCTCTCCACAGAATTCGTTGGTAGTCAGCATCCTGCTTGGCGACGAGGATCTGACGATACATTTTCGCCACATCTGCAGTGAAGGCGACGATGTGGGTTCGAAATCGTAGGAGAATATCGAAGAGGGAGTCTTGGATTGTTGCTCCAACAAGTAGGCATGAATTGAGGGATTTACCATTTCCGGTCTTAGCTGAAGCATCGAAAACCACCCTAAGTTTGGTAGTGGTACTGCACTCCTTTACTACGAAGTGGTGTGGTATGTACATGCCTGGGACTCGATTTCTTGTGGGGGAACAACCTCCATGTGGCCGAGGTCGAGATATTCCTTCATGAAGGCGACGTATTGTTCTTTGTGCGCTGGCTGCCGAGCGAGTCGTCGTTCAATTTGGCGAAGACGTTGCAATGCCATTTCACGGGATGAGCCAAGGTCTGGAGGAGTAGTTTTGAATGGGAGGCTGACAACAAATCTTCCATCTTGCTGTTGAGTGGTGTGGGTGACGTAATGGTCTTCACATTGTTGTTCTTCTTGTGTGAGGGGGCGTGGAGTGGGACTTCTTCCAGCTCCCAGAATGAGCGGAGGCGTTTGTCCAAGTCGACGTCTGTTACTCGTACCTGTGACTGCTGCGGTACTGTAGCGGATTGCATATTAGGGGAACCTTGAGTATGAAAATTAGTGATTGCACCTGTGTCAGTCTGACCAACTTCACCAACTACCAACCAACCAATGTCCGAGCTGAGGGCAAATGGTTGACCGAGTTGACCATGTCTTTTGTCTCCATTGATGAGACCGTAGACGAGTGATGCACCAACTAACATGTCGATGTCATCAGGGATGTGCCACTTCTCGTCAGCGAGTTGCAGTCCATTGAGATGAGGAAGATCGGGATCACATGGGTGACGAGGAAGTTGACCAGTAACTGTGGTCATGATTCTCACATTCTTGGCGAGAATGGTGAGATGAGGATCAATGTGCGGACTGAACTCCATGTCCAGCACACCGTACGCACTTCCGACTGGGGCTGACGAGAGTCCAGTGATGAGAGTTTGCTGTTTGTTCCAGCGTAGGCCGAGGGACTTGACGGTACTTGATCTGATGATGTGGACATCGGATCCACCATCCAACAAGAGGCGAATTGGCTGCTGCTGGCCTGATGTGTCCTTCACAAGGACAATTGCTGTAGCAAGGAGAGTTTGAGAAAGGGTACTTTTGTTGTTGCTAGCATGATGATTCAATGCGGGATTATTGTTCACGACTGGAGGGGCCGGTTGAACAGGTGACTTGACACGATGAAGAAGTGAGTTGTGTTTCCCACTGCAAGTACGACAGGTGAAAGCGCTGGGGCATTGCGAGCTGGGATGGTTACTGCGAACACAGTTAAAGCACAGTGAATTCTTTCTAACCGCTTCGATTCTGCAGTCCACGGTCATGGCGAGGAAGACTGTACATTTGTAGAGAGGGTGGTGTGGCTCAGCGCACACTTTGCATGGGTGTGGTGAGTGAGGCGAGGAAGGAGCTTGTGCATGGTGCACGTGATTCCTGACATGAGGAGATTTATTCTTTTCAAGGACTTTGGGAGGATATGAGGACTTACTCCCACTCGCCTCCAACGCTCTGGACCTCTGATCCAAGAAGTCGAAGAGGCCTTGAAGCTTGGGAATGGAGCTATCCTGCAGTCCTTGCTCGTACAGTTCCTTGGTGGCGCTGTCGAGCTTCTGATGAATGGTGAAGAGGAGGGGTGCATCCCAGTGTTGCACAGGCTGGGCTAGCACCTCCAGTGACCGGATGCACTCCTTACTACCGTCGATGAGTTGGCGTAAGGATGATGCAGTCGCAAGTCCAATGGGTTGTTGTTGAGTGAATCTCTTCAATAAGGTGAAGAGCAGTTGACGATCGTTCTGGTAACGATCCTCCAATAGCTTGGCGGCGATGGCGTAGTTGGCATCTGAGATGACCAATGACTGTACCTGTCGAGCTGCTTCTCCCTTGAGTTGCGCCTTAAGGTATGCCAATCTCTGTGAGTCCGATAGGTGGACATTGTCGTGGATTGCAGTCCTGAAGAGGTCCCTGAAGGATGTCCATTCTTCAATCTTGCCGTCGAAGGTGGGTAAGTTCAGACGTGGGAGTTGAATGTCTGCTTTGATGGTTGCGAGTGTTCCAGTTGGGGGAGGAGTTGCTTTGGTAGCAGGGATGAAAGACTTTTGGTTGACAGTGAGCTTATCCATGAGGTCAACAGCACGGTCAAGTAGTGATTCATACTCTGTTGAATGGGGGTCGAGGTCAGCAGGATCCACAACTGCTGCGATGCGTTGGAAGGTGTCTTCAATCTTGTCTTTGGAGATGGTCACGGTGGTAAGGTATTGGGCTACCTTATTCTCGGTCATTGGGGCGGTGGCGTGGTCATTGTACCGCTTCTCGAGCCACCCCAGGGTCACTTTTGTGGCGTCACGTTCCTTCTCTGCTTTGACGAGGGCCATGGCGTCACTATGTCACTTTGTTGCCAACAACACACTTTCACGCAAAAGTTTATGGGATTGGTAATCCTGTTCGCTTGAGACCAAAATGATGGAGCTGGGAATCGTGTGTGTCAATGATTTTGTGTAAACTTGGATCGGTACTATTTGCCCATATATTTAGAGGTTTATTTAGTCAGTAAAAATAGTGTACAAATTAATTGTGGGGCAGATGAGACCGATGGAGAACAGACCGACCGTGACTGGTTGACATTGGGTAAAAGAGTGGATCGGAATGATAATGATAATTTGGGTTTTATAGGAGGCCGGTCAAGGTGATCAGAGTTCAAGTAAAATGGAGACATACATAATAGGATAATTGAATTAGTTATGAAATGAGTTTACAATACATTGACTTAAATAGGAGTTTGAGAATGGTTCATAATTAAATTAGTCTGGAGATTAAAAATAAGGGAAATTAGTCATGAGATAAAATAAGTTAAGATATGGAAAAACTGCATGGCATTCACTTTACAAACGTTGATTTAGCATTCTTAACAAATTCTTGAAATTTGATGATTGACGTATGAAAATGACGCTTAACCTCCTCCAGAGATCAACTCGCCTTTCAATGAAATAATCCTCTCTCACTCAAAGTCCACTCATACACAATTTTTAATTGATAATTAGTTGTGCATAATTTGCATAAGTATAAAATTGTAAATAGCTAAAAAATGCTGCTGATTATTACCACCGTATATTAATGCATATTAACACTGAATTTGTTGGGGAGCTGTGCATTAATTGGGCACAGATTTACCCCTTAGCTCTGCATGCATAGTTACATGAAGTAAAATCAAGCAATTATAACTACTTGTACTTAATTTTACGACATATTTAATTAGCATTCTGTATTAATCGCGATATTAATAAATAACTCTACATATACCAATTTTGCATGCATGTTTCCTTATCTGCATAATGAGGATGTGCCGATAAGCACATCCTTGATAAGGGCAAAACAACACATTCCATCACGCACGTAACATAATTACTTAATTCTCACACCAGCCAGCTCTCACTTCCAGGTGCCACACCCAATTCATAATTCATATAACTTTCCAGGTAATATAATTATTTTCCCAGTTTGCGAAAAGAATTAATTTCTCCAATTTACTACCCGAATTTACGAAAGGGCTTATCTTGTCAATCATGGCGGACGGAAGGGATATCCTTTTGGTCATTTTGTCCATCATCCTACCCCCACTTGCCGTTTTTCTGAAGAAGAACAAATGCGACTCTGACGTCGCGATCAACCTGATTCTCTCATTTTTCTTCTGGGTTCCAGGAATTTTGCATGCTCTTTGGGTCATCTTTTTCAGATGAGGGTGAGGAGTCAAAATAATTTATAGTTTTTGTGGTATGTGGAAGGATAAAACTTAAAATTTAAAATGTAAGACGATTTTCAAATCTTATTTTTTTGTTGGTCAGGTTGGAAATCCAGTCTTTTCTTGGTCAAATTTACAAGAGTTAAATTTAAAAGAAAGCAAGTTCAAGAAATCTGTATGGAAGAAATTCTGCATATATTTAATTAGTCAATATTTACATATTTCATTTATTTGTATGGACAAGAATTTAAATATATACATATACGTAGTTTTTAGATTTCTATTAATTACATATCATATATTTATGTAATTAAAGAATTTATTATTAATAAATTCTTATAACAAATGTAACTAGGGAGTGAAATATCTACAAATAATTATTCGAGTTGAAAGTTACAGATCTACTAAAATTGACATTCTTAACATTTACGACTTTTGCTCCCCACCCACAATCCTCACTGTATGCCTGGTCAAATCGGATGTCATATTCGTGTTTCAAATCTGCTTAAAATGTTGTTTATGTACATTGTTCAAAACGCACAACGCTAAAATTGGCGGTACAAACCCGACCCGTTTCTAGACAAAATTCTAATTCCGCTACCTTAACTGGAAACAAAACAAAAATGTATGCAAATCATACACAATTTCATACCAAGTTGGAACATGAATTATCCACTCGCTTTGATTCATTATGTATGCACATACATTAATCCATTTAGGTATTTGTGAGAAGTGACAGTTCTGAATAAATATATTGATCCAAATTATGCATAGTGGGACTGTGCATAAAGAATGCAACACATTAGAGCTGAGGTTGGTGCTAGGATAACAGCATATTTCTCATATTTATGAACACAGGTACTTGCCTCATGTATTTAAGCATAATGTTTCAAATTCTCTTACACATAATGCACGGCCCCTTGCTCAACTTTATTACTCCAGCCTACACAAGGTTGCCAGCATATGTACAACATGAGTAAGATACAAACACAATGCATCTCCAATATTTATATGACTTTGCCGTTACAAAGTCACGGCGAGATTACTTGCCTGGATTTGTTTTGGTTCGTGTTTTTGCAATATTTTTTGCAGACAAGGTGAATCTTGTCGGGACGAGAGTTACGAATTGTGCATCACCACCGTTCACTCTCGTCCAAACGTGTTCAAACTTGTTCATGTTGAGAGTAAGAATCCAATTCACTCGCGATACGTCACTCTCGCGTAAATGCAGTGTTGATTCATTCATATAAAAGTTGTTCGCCTCCACAAATGCAGGCACACTTGTCAACTGGAAGCAGGAAGAGGAACATTAACCCACAAGAGAAAAGTGCAGCTTGTTAACGGAACATAAATAAATACCGGATTATACTTGAAGGATTCATTTTCAATCAAAAAAGGTATGGAGGTTTTAAATTTTTTTTTGATATTTCGATATCTTGAATATAAACGTGAAGGATTTGAATTTGAGCATTTTCTTTAAGGAAAATTTTCCTGTCAGAATTTTTTTATAATTTTACACACTAGGGAAAATTTAGTTTAATTTAAAGAATTTTTTGCATTTTCTCACCGAAATTTGTTACATATGCAGATAAAAAACAAACTATTTTTAACATATCTAATAAATATTTTGTATTTAACCTTAGATCACTTCACATCAAAAATGGAGAAAATTAACGATATGGAAGAAATCATGACCCCTGAGGACATGATTATTGACCGCGATGACCTACAAACCGGTTCGGCGGACGACGACGACCCTAAAATTATCATGGAAAATCCCACCCCACGTATCACCAACCATGCAACACAAGTTATTGACGACAACGACACGCAAACTATTGACGACGACGCTGAGACACAATTTACTACCCCAGAAGAACCGGAAATATCAAAAGAGGATACATTTATCCCTCTCACCGTGGAAACAACAGATCCTGAGCACGAAAAAATTCCACAGGTCGAAGACTTACCCATGAAGGAAGAAAAGAAACTCGTCGCAAATAAAATTTCGCCCTTGTCCAAGTCCCCAATTAGCAAACGGTATCGCACCGTGAGCAAGAAATGCAGCGAAGCAGCCACAAGTTCCCAACTTCTTGGAAGCATTGTGCAACTTTTGGAATCCCAATTTTCCTGCAGCATTTCCTGCAAAAGGTTGCGACGTCGGTCACTCGTCTCAATCCGGTCCAATTTCCCGTCTCCATTCTTTTATGAGGACGTCAAGTTTGAATAAGATTGTATATTTGCATAATATTAATTTTTGTTATTATTTAAATGTTTTAATATACATAATTTGTTCCGTTATAATAGCACACATTTTTGTAACATTTTAAGATCTTGTAAATAAATATATAAATTAATTAATGTATAACGTAGTCAGAAAAATATTTATTATTCTAAATAGTCGTCTTTAACTTGTCAAATTAGTTGTTTTTCATTTAAACTATTTATTTTAAATTTCTACACTAATGTTTGCTTTACATTTCGTAAAGTTTGTATTCTCCGAAAAATTGAAGCAGCTCACAGTATTCATGCTATTTAATTAATTATCTGACTATTTATGTAATAACACATTATGCATGCAAAGAGTAAATACAAATAAAATAAATGTCAAGCTTATTTAAGTATCAAGTTTGAAAATGTAGCATAGAAGGGTCCAGCATTTAGATTCAATTTTTTTCCATTTTTCATAAAAAACGTAAATATTTACATGCTGAAATCATAGTTAATATCTGCAGGATATCATAAAATCATACATTAAAAGTTGAAGTGAGTGCGCCCAACCAAAATTCATGCGACACTTTATCTACACATGCAAGCTTACGAATGGTGCAAAATTTATGCATGCATGAATTCCGTATTTTCCCTAATTTGTTCCCATCCTACATAAATTGGTACAATTTACGTGTAATTTACTAAATATGATCGGGCACAAAATGAAATATATATATGTTGGATTTGGTTAAATAATTATGTTTTTATTTGTGCAAGTTACTTTAGTTAAGATTATCATTGATGCTGTGCTTTGGCTGGTGGTGTCATTATTTTCATGGTTTTTTAGTTCTAGCAGTCACCACCACCAACCACGTCGCACTAGTTGTAACTTTAGACTTGGAGAGAGCAACACGTATTTTTGGCTGAGCTCTGATTATTTATTTTAAAGTTATTTCAAAGTAGCAATTTTGTTAGTAAATGGTTCAATCTATTTAATAAAGTAGTGATCAGCAAGAGGAGATAATTTGTGATAAGTGTCAAGTTATTTCGGCTCAGTTGCGGCTACTAGGAACTCATTTACTCAAAGTTTTATCTCATCATCATCGCCAAGCAGGCCCTTATTCGGATTATCGGGTTTTTCGGGTAGAAATTCATACGAGATCCAACAATATATGTAAATATATCTAACCATAAATCTGTTACTTTTTTAATTGCCCCATCCCCACAGTTTTGCAGCTAATGAAAATTGTGTAAATTAATAAGGAATGTGCCCTAAGTGCATAATCTTGTAAAAATTGGGAACATCCCTCTTAGGATTAATCTAATGAAACATGTACGTCTTTAAAAGGTGAAAGTGTGACAAACCACAGCTCCAAGTTGGTGTAGATCACACCTTTAAAAGTTTGTACTTTTCCACGGTTTCATTTTTATAATGGGAGGGCCCGTATGAAAATTTTCCGACATTTTCTTCATAAATTATATGGCGAATCATGTACAAATTGTGTGCCTAAAATTGGCCGATTTTTAGGAAGAATTGTTTCTGCATAAAAGAGTATGACGAACATTTCCTACATACAAGAGTATGACTAACATTTTCTTCATAAACATTTGGGTACAATATTTTCGTAGCACAAATTGGCCGCATTTCGTGAAGAATTATTTATGCAGAATAAATTATGCATGCGAATTCGTAGGGTATTTTTCTCTAGTGATTTTATTTTTCTCAAGTAAATAAATTTTCAAATATTTGATTACATCAAATTGAAATTAATTACGGGCCTTTTTCTGCTCCTCCCTCAAAAAATCTGATAATGATTTAATAATCTCCTTCCTTGCTACCTTCTTATTCTTGTTGAAAATTTTGTCTTCGGCAGCATGACCAGAATTTGGTAGTCCATCAAGCCCTTGCTCTTTCAGAACAAATTCTGTGGAGCAGAATAGTTCAATATAGACTTTACAAATCTTTCTAGCAATTTATAAATCCAATATACTCAATAATTTATGTAATGTCTTACTGATCACAGCGTCCCGTTTGGGTATGTCGATGATTGGAAGAGGAGGCGCGGCATTGCTGTTGGCGTTGCATTTCTTCCCTAAAGGAGAATGCGTCGAAAGTTCTTCTGTCGTAAAGAGCCGTCTAAATAAATTGCGTGCTAGCACAGTAGGTTTGGACGAAACCATTTTGATGGAAGTCAAATCGGCCATGGGCAATGTTACACCGCTGTTAGCGTAAATTTCGACCTGTTAAAAACACAATTTTTATTAACCTGTTAAAATAATAACCGTAGAAATGTATAAAAGTTTTAAAGTCTAAAGTATAAAGTCTACACTGATAAAGACGAAAATAAACCGTAGTAACGTTAGAAGTAGCTCACCCTGTAATAATGATTTGGTTATAACTTGCCCCAAAGGTGCAGAAAAATGCAACAAAATAGATACATAATTTTTTGGCAATTATGCACCAATGGTGCAGAAAAATCCAACAAAGTAGATCAATAATGTTTATGCAATATTGCACCAATGGTGCAGATAAATTAAACAACATAGATCAATAATTATTATGCATCGAGGAAAGTCCAAAAATTATGCATCACTGGTGCAGAATTACCTACCAACGATCAACGAAAATTTTGAAAAATTTATGTCAGAATTGTCAAATAATATCCGCCGAGTAGTATGCACTATTGGTGCGTTATGCATCAAAGCCCCCAATTCTTTCGCATCATTTGGTGTTTCCGATTGTCAGATACCAACGGTGCTATTAATTTATGAAAAAATGGACCTGATCCATTCTAGTGAGTATCAATTGATGCTCATCCAATTGTTTCGCATCAGCTTGGATAACCAACCGTTCAATACCAACGGTGCTACTTATTCCAAAATTGTAGTGCTTTCTCGATCCATTTGCACAATTAATTCGCACCATTTGCGCCACGGATTGTTCGATACCAATGGTGCGCTTAATTTATTCTATAATGGTCAAGAGGATTATTAATTAGCATCAATTGATGCAAAAAACTCGTGAACACACAGACAGACGGACGGACGGACAAGAGGAATTCAATAGCTCTCGTGCTACGCAGGGCGAGCTAATAATGGACACAATGTCTACCTCGGATGGTTCTCTGACTGAGGATTTCAAATCCTTATATTTAATTCTCAATGCCTTGTACTTCTGCTTCATTTTCAAATATTTTTCTGCATAACAAGTGTAATTAATTGCCATCATTTTTACATTATTGTCTTCGCATTTGTGCAAGTTTAATTAGAAAATAAATACCAGAATAATCCACTCCTTCGGGGATCTGTTCCTGACCAGAAGAGTGACTTTCCTCTTGTGACTGGACATCTTGCAGATCAGCTGAAGGAACAAGATTGGCTACAACCTCTTCTATGTCGCGAATCCGTTTTGTCGTCGTGGATTTGTTGCCTGAATTTATAAAAAAATATATGATAAAACTCTCCAACATAATTCTAATTGCAATTGCGCTGGTGCCAAAATTTGTTGCCTTACCCTTCTTTGATTTGATTTCTGTATTTTTCCTCTTTATGCCAGAATGCTCACCTGTTTCCACGGCTTGAGCGGCAGAACAAGCTATAGCCAATAAATCAGCTTCATCAGATAAGGCTTCCTCATCATTGGCTAAAAAAATATTAGTTAACATAAACATATGCACAATCAATTATTAATAAGTTTAATGAGAGAAAATTAGAAAATTAGAAAGAACCAATTATTACACGAACCGATTTTTAAAACCAAACCAGGGTAGATTTTCCCACGACTCCAAATAACTTGCACAACCTGTCCCAGTAAATTTTGAGGATTAGCACGCAACGTTCCATCTTCTAACTTCTCGGAGGATACGACTGAATACTTTTTGGGACGTTCGTTGGACCACTCAATTAAAATAAATGTCATTTTGATTGGAATCGTAGACATTTAGTAAATGCGAATGAAATTCCGAGCGAGCAGTTGGTTAAGTTGCCATCCACACTGATTGCTTCCAAAGATTCCCACTATTTGTAGAGCAGAGTTTAGTATGTCCAAACGAACCCCCGAATCGTCACAAGTAGCACATTTGAAACTTATTAAAGTAAGTACTTCAACAATTGAATACTAAATGTCAACCCGTAGAAATTATAAAAGCTATTTTGGCTCTCGTGGAGGATGCGCGAAAGTGACAAGTATACCAATAAGGACCCGGCACAGGATAAAACGCCGCTGGGTAAATTCCAATCTAGTTATGAAAAATTCGAAAAATAAATTATTATTTTTAAATTAGTCGGCGATTGATGGTGTTGGCTTAAATAATAATACTCAACCCAACCAGCAATGCGACAACACGGTGGGAAGAAGTAATGAGGACTTGGATGACAATCTTCACCCATCGTTACCTCAATTGGTAATATGACAATACCAATTGTGATACAGTATATCAACTATTTTAGCTTTATGTATACTTTACAACTACACTGTTAGGATATGAACGACGATGCGGAAGTTTCCGAATCTGGCCTCAGTACAAGTTCAGACGACGACAATGATGAGGACGATTACGATCAAAATGAAGTAGCCAATGAGTTCATTTATCAAAATAATCAATATTTCGCTCAATTCTATAACTAAGAATATTTTAATTATCCTAGCACCACAACAAACAATACAAAATATTTCCTAAGGCAAAACTTACAACAACGGAAAGTTGTATGTTAGTAATAGGATTCGCCATCCGTCACAAACTCAGTAAATCTGCAATGACCGATTTGCTAACGTTAATTAATTTTCACTTACCGACTGGAGCATCAATCCCGTCGTCAATGTTTTTGTTGAACAAGATGCTGGGACCTGACTACACTTTAGCAAAGAAGATCCCCTTTTGTGAAAAATGTCAGTGCATTATTGAAAACTCGGATAATTGTATCAAATGTGGACAAGTTAATATGCATAAGGCAATCAAAGATGGGAATTATTTTGTCTCCTTCGATATTGGATCTGTATTGAAATCACTTTTAGAAAAAGAAGCAATCTCGAAGTCAATTATCAAGAACTTTGTGAAACGTGCCAACAATCTTAATGCTAGCAACGTAATAAGTGACATCATCGACGGATCTGACTACAAAAAATTAAAATTAAAAAAGTATGACTTGACTTGCTGCTTAAATACTGATGGTGTCTCAATTTTTAACTCATCAGGGTTTAGTGTGTGGCCACTTCTTCTATGCATCAACGAACTTGACTATCCACTCCGTAGAAAACACACGATTCTGGGAGGTCTTTGGCTAGGTCAAGGAAAGCCAAATTTTACTCTATTTCTAAATCCATTCATGAAACAGGCAGCCCAATTATCTACAGAAGGAATTGTCTGGACGGCTAACAACAAAATGATGACCAGTAAAATATTTTTCCCTTTGTTCGCTGCGGATTCTGTTGCTCGATGTCAAATTCAAGGAATTAACCAGTTCAATGGCGAATATAGCTGCCCATGGTGCCTTGCTAAGGGAAAAAATTTTAAAATATCTGACTCGAGGCATAAATGGATATTTCATCCTACTGAAACTTCGATAAAACGAGATAAAGAAATATTTGTGCAACATCTACTGCAGTTAAGAGACAAACTTCAACACGGGTCTACAGTTGCGTCTCATTTTGGGATCAAATTAGCATCTCCTCTTATTAATCTGAAAAATTGTTATATTGTTGGAGGGTTTGTTTTTGACTATATGCATACCGTTTTGCTTGGAGTTGTTCGCACTTTCGCTTTTGCTTGGACAGAGTCAAAAAACCACTCTGAACCATTTTATATTGGCACAAAAGCGCAAGAAATTAATCAACGAATTGCGAAATGTAAAATTCCACATGAATGTAGTCGAAGTATGAGGGAAATTAAAGAAATGAAGTATTGGAAAGCCAGCGAGTGGAAAACTTGGATGGTCATTGCAATACCATTATTGCGAGGTATTTTGCCAAATTGTTACTTGAAACACTTCGCCAAGTTAATTGTTTCTATTTCAACCCTATCCCAGGATACTGTAACATTAGATAAGATTAACGAAGCTGAGAAATTGGTTAAAGAATTTTGTTTGTTAACTCCTAATTTATATGATAAGAGCTACTGTAGTTTTAACATCCACTTACTAACTCACGCTGCTGATTGCGTGCGACGCTGGGGACCCTTGTGGAGCTATTCGTTGTTCCAATTCGAAAACTATAATGGGGTGCTGACAAATAGCTATTGCGGTACCAGAGAAGTAGGGTCACAAATAATTAGTAGAATTATATGTGCTCAAAAAGTTTGTTCTCTGGGGGAAGTCCATTTCCAAAACGGCATAGCTAAAGATTTTCATATTTCAATGATAGAAAATAAGAAATACTCCAGGAAGTCCTGTCCCCTTGATAATTGCACACTTTTGGGAGCAAAAAAGATATACATTTTTAGTACAACTGAGAGAAAGAAACTAGAGAAATTAGGGTACATGCACAGTGAAGGTTTTAGTTGCAAATCATGTATTATATCTGGTAAATTTTTTAATTCCAGTAATAGTGATACAATCAAACGGGTGAACTCTATTGTTAAAATTAACGGTAAATTGTATGTGATTTTTAAACTACTTAATTTGTTTGGTATCCCAAATGCGATTTTGCTCGTGAAAAAGTGTGTTGTAGCTGAGAGTAAAGATTCACCAAAGTCGAATAAAATTATATCAGTTAGCGATGATGTTAGGTTCGAATTGTCAACTAATGTAGAGCGTATGAAATTTGTTTGTCAATATGATGAAAATGGGAATTTATATATAGTTACCGAACTTATGAATACAATTGAACTGGAATAAATAAATGTGTCAACGTACTTTGTTATACACAATAAGCAGATAATTTTTAGTCACAATTGGCCAAATAATTTTATGCATATAAGATATGGCACGGATATTATGCATGATTAGGTTGAATTTTTCAGACAGAAAATGTTCGGCATAAATATTATGGGGATTATGCATAATTATGCTAGGTTTTTTATGCAGAATATGTTCGACATAAATCTCATGCCAGTTATTCATAATTCGGCATATAGTTACCTGCACAATCAACTGTGCAGGGAAGTTGTGCCGGTTTCTGCAGGATTCGCCATACCATTTTCATACGGGGGAATACTATGAAATAATTTAATCGTACTATTATTTAGGTTCGTTTAGGGACCGTCCATATATGACGGCATCAAAAAGATTAACGGGTGGTTTCCCCAGCGTGTCGTGGAAAATTCCCAAAAAAAACGGACCGTACTAACTTTCCTAAAATAACGTTCGAAAATTTTCTGAAAAATGCTCGACAAATCCCCAAAACTTTCAAACTTGGCAGGGAATCCTCTAAAAATTCCAGGAAGCTTTCTCCCGCTTTCCAACCAACGGCTTTTTCAAATTCGCACCTGAAATCCAACCCAGGTGCGTTACACGTGGCAAGATTAACCTCAATATAATGGGGAAGGCTGGTAAGAACAATTCAGCGATTTTCTTATGACATAATAGACGTATGTTCCTACATGATAAACCACATGGTGATGAGTAACCATGAAAATAGTCTTGGAAAGCTTGGAAAAGTCGCGTGCCATGATTACTTGTTTTATTTCGTAGGTTGTAAATATTTTGGGGTGTAATTGGCTAAAGTTGGAATCATCGTGGCTGACCTCGTTTTTCGGGTGGAAAGGTCATGGGGACTAATTAATGTTTGACACGTCGTAATCAGTATTAACTTCTGTACATACATCGTGACTCACAACTCGTTAGGGATGAACGTTAGGCAACGAAGCTCGATTGAAAAATAAATGAATCTCCTTATGTAACCCCTTTGATTGAGTTGTACATATTTTTCCGTTGGATATTTACATATTTAAAGCTACTCGGGCTAATGATGCTGCACTAAAGGAAGGTATGATTTTTCAGGCATTCGAGTGAATTTGCAACACGAAAAAAAATTGCATACGTGTCTCATATTGTATGAACTATACGTAACGTTTATGCAACCACACTCTAAGAATTTCTGTGATATTTGTGAATCCATCGGCTCTATTGACTCCTAGCTACACTAGATACATATGTACATTGATTCTCAAAATATTCAAATTAGTGTACATATCAGCCTGGAGAATCATTTGGGTGCTCCGAAGTGTCAAGAATTCCGTCCCTGTGGGGAAATCGCCTACATATTAGCATTTTGAATTTTAGGTATACCGTATACCTAAAATTACATATACCGTATATGTAATTGGGTTTGAGTTGACAGAGGCAGGAGCAGTGTTTAGTTTTACATATCTGTACTCAAGTTTTATCAAGTTTCTACAGGTGACCGAGCGATGGTGTACTATTTATTACCATCTGGTAGTGTCAGATATGTACATCCACCTCTCGGTGTGATTCCGGTGAAGCGATTTCTTAGAGTGTCGACATCTTACGTAACTGTACCCAACGTTAACATAGCTCGAGCCGAAGTAAATCTTCCAATTCTACCCGTGCCAAATGGTGCCACGCTTCTCGAGGCAGGCCAGGTTTTATCCCACGGGTTTCCCTGTGCCCACGGGATATCTGTTCTCGTTTTGTCTTATGAAACAATATTGTATTGATGAGGGCTCATGGCCATATCAAATGCTAATAAATTGAATTGAATTGAACATAGCTCGAGCCCGGAATTGCTATTTCGGGAGAAAGTCTTGCCAAGGTGATAAACTGCATTTTGTATGACCCATGACTCATACAACCTGCGGGTCGTGTGGTTTGAGTGTGCTAAATAATCTACCCCGATTCCCGTATAAAAGAGAGTGACACCTTTTCCCTGACCTTTCATACATACACAGCACAAAAAATTTACTCGGAAAAGCCCCCAACAAAGTTCAAAATTGAATCTACAGCTCTTTCGGTCTTTTTTGCTGAGAAAATGCAGGACAAAAATGCAGCTCGTTTTTTTGAGTTTGAAATAAATTCTTACTTCGACACAACAATTTCACGAATCGACGACGACACTGGTTTAATTGAAGAGGTGACTGCAATTCTAAATCTGGTCAAACCATGGCTTAAGCTTGGGCGGTTGATGAAAGTCACGTACAGTTGTGAGTTAAAATTAGCACATTTATATATGGACACACAATTCGACATTACACTCTTAAAAATAATGTAACCCTTTTTAAAAGTAAATACGCTCTGAATTCTTTATTACGTGAGCTATACAAAATCCAGGGTAGAAGTTACTCTTCATTGAGTTATTTAAGTAAGGCATACTCTGAATTATGAATACATAATACAAAATTCAAAATGAATTTACTGTTCGACCTGATTAAGCTCGATCTGCCCTTACACCTTATCCCGATTGGGTTCAGAAATTTGTCGCGTCGGGTGGGTCGCGTTCAGAAATTTGTCGCGTCGGGTGGGTCGCGCTCAGAAATTCGTCGGGTCGGATTTCAAATTGTGTGGCCGGGTGGAACGGGCTATTTAATATAATAATCTTTAGTGCAATAAATATTATTTCTAAGAGACTAAATACATACGTACCTACCCACTTTACCACGGCGGTCAATCTGACCAAAATTAACTAACTAACCAGTGAAATATTTAAACATTCGTCAGATTGGCCTTGCAGCCCGATCAGGATGCAGATTACACTCACAGAAAAAACGACACCGAATTGACACCATTCCGGTGTCTATATATGACTCTACCGGTTTGGTGTCAAATTGACACGGCGCGGTGTCAATTATGTTGCACACCGTGGCGGTGTCAACCCAACATACCGTAGTGACAACACCAACACCGCGAATGGATCAGAGGTTGTGCTCAGTTTTATGTTGCTTCGACACTGCTAGGTAACGATATGACTGCAATTTAATATATGCATGTCACCACCCGGTGGCAAATCGTTCCCGGATTGTGACAACTGAACTACAACTTTTAGTAACAAATATTTTATTTTACGTTCAACAATATTAATCACTTAAAAAATTAATCACGTATTTCAAACATATTCACAAGTAACAAATTATAACACTCGCACATATCAAATAATATTTTTTTCTTCATACCTTATACACTTTTAAAGAAAAAACTTATATGTACTTAACACGGTGATGATCAAAATATGAGTACATCGTTAAGTTAAATTAAGTTTGCAAAAAAGATTTAGTAATAATTAAATTGGCTGTCGGGTGGACAAATCCTTACTCGTCGGTTCCCTCGTTGGGTTCAGTCTGGAGTTTTAGCTTTCTGGAAACAATAAGTTTTCAAAATAAAAATACACACAGTAAAATAATTTTAATTAAATGAGGGAAAATTAATGTAGGTTACAGATTTTAACTCACCTGAGTCAAGAAATTTGTAGTAGTCGTTAAACTTATTAAAAAACAATTTTTCCATCGAAATCAATGGAACACACCAATTAATTTACCCATTGTGTTGACTGTTTCGTGGAGGAGGAAGGAAAATGGCCGCCAAGCATACCCGTGCACAAGGAAGAGACTGACACAATTTGGTGTGAAGTCCAGGTCTCGCTTGCTGCTGTAACATCGTATCGTGTCAATTCGACACCTCAGCAGGAATATCGCTGATACCGGTAGCGTGTCAACGCGTTTTTTTTGCTCAGTGTCATTTTTACACAACGGTTTGACACTGTTTAGTGGAATTGAGGTTGACACCGACGGTTGGTGTTAACGAAATTCTTGGTTTTGTTACCAAGTTGCTAAGAGTGTACGGATGATGGAATCTGGATCACACTGGGAGAGGATTTCTCAACAAAATTGCAACTCCGGGCTGAGCGTAGTTTACAGGGCGACGGAAAGCGCATGACGATTGGAAATCTGATCCAGAACAATAATGGCAAACAATTCGTGGAAAGAATTAGTTTCTTCTATCCGAATTCGGTACACGAAATGGTTAAATTTTCCATTAGGAACATTTCTAATTGACGGTAAATTAAACAATTTGCTAGACTCTGGACAACTGCATCGATTTTTTCAGCCCGGATTGTAACGATCGCGTCGGATGGATCAGTGCGGGCAGAGATGTCGCAACCGGGGCTAAAATCGGGTTTGATTCGGATCCCGTGGATTCACCGAGGTTTACAACGTGCCCCAGTAGTACTGGTGAAAGGGGTATTTTGGTACGGGTATATGGTTTTAGTAAATTTAACGTAGCACTCGATGGCCAATCACAACCCAGCATCGTCAAAATTAACGCATTTCTCTTTCCCGGAATTAATTTTATAATTCTAGACGACAAATTTGCAGAACAGGTCGTTCCTAATTGAAATGAAAAAAACACTCCAGATTTTGCCAGCTGGTGGAGGAGATCTCAAGTTTCCAGAAAAATTGGAGCAGCTAACTGACCATAAATTTGTCATCCCGAATTTCAAAATAAGTTCCCAAAGATGATATATGTACATATGTATGTATGTATGAGTAAAAATGTGATGAGTTTGACAATTTTGGCGATAAGTTATAAATATGCAGAGCCCTACATATATAAGTACGTTAAGCCAAAGATGATACCCATCAAACTATACACAAATTTACGTAGCTTTCCGCGAATAAACCTAGTTTTCATGCAGATTCGAAATTCCGTCGGACGGACCGTCGCCGCTGGACAAGCTACTCGATGTAAGGTTTCTTGGGGGAGTAAAACGTATAAAGAGTTCCGGATTCTTCTGCCCGCCAAGGGAATTTCCGAGGCTGAAAGAAATCTAATTTTTGCCGTGCTCATCCTTTGGGTAAATTTAATTGACAATAGATAACAAATATTTGGAAAATATTCCAGAAATCAGAACGCACTCTTGAAAATAATGTCACCTTTTTGAAAAGTAGATAAATACAGTCTAATTTCTAAATAAAGCAAGCTTATCGGTAGCAAATAACTAACTAGTGAAATATTCACTTTAATAAAGATTAAAGTTAAAACAAAAGATATCATATTTTTTTAAGAGTGGGTTAAGGTGCTACAAGGTGTGTGTTATTTATTTTCCAAATCACGCTACCCGCTACCCATATTTAACTGCAGAAATTTCATTTTAAACACATTTAAAATGAAATTTCTAAAATTTCTCCAGTTTTATGAGTTTTGAGATATGGAAATGAAACTTTTGCTGCTTCAATGTGAAGCCAAACTACAAGGGTATCTACATACGTACTTGGGAAAAATGGACTAATTAATTTTGATTAATATTCATTGGGAAAAATAACATCTAAAAATCTACATTTTTTCCAAATCCTTAGTTTTGTAATCTCAAAAATTAGCTCTGCATTTAGTAAAAAAAATTATTATTTTTATTTGGATTAACTCATGAAACTTAAGTAGTATTAGTCTTCATTTAAAGGCATTGAACAGGGGAATGTACATATGTAGCGTGAGATGAAAAGAAACTTCATATCAATGCGTAATCCTTTAGCACCTTAAGTAGATAATTTTTTAAAACTGTGAGAATTTAGTATTTATGTATCCATTCATAATTCTAATTTCGTATGTATTCCTAAATTTCAAACAGGGCTTGAACATAATGGATTTACAAGGGAACATACCGAGGTGTCCAACGAGTTAAGGGTCGACACCTATACCAAAATGACCACAATACATGACCTATTAACCAAACTGAAGGAATTTCCGTGTAAAATTCACTTTTCGTCAAGTTGTGACGATATTTGTGACGAGCGCATGACCATCGGGTTGTCAGCGGGACAGGTCGGCCGCTGAACGATCAGGTCGACCACAGAGAAGTGTCGTCGTCTTCACGTCGTCTTCAGAGATTTCAAATTCTTTCAAATTTTGAAAACATCTTGAAATTTTGAAAAATATCAGAAATTTCTTCAAAATTTCAAAATTTTCTCAAAATTTTTTCAAACTTTAAAGATGTTTTCAAAATTTGAAAGAATTTGAAATCTCTGAAGACGACGTGAAGACGACGACACTTCTCTGTGGTCGACCTGATCGTTCAGCGGCCGACCTGTCCCGCTGACAACCCGATGGTCATGCGCTCGTCACAAATATCGTCACAACTTGACGAAAAGTGAATTTTACACGGAAATTCCTTCAGTTTGGTTAATAGGTCATGTATTGTGGTCATTTTGGTATAGGTGTCGACCCTTAACTCGTTGGACACCTCGGTATGTTCCCTTGTTAGTCCAAGAAGATAACCGAACCAGGAGTTTGATGACTGCGGCAATGGGCGTATTCCTGGTCGCCCTGGTTGTTCTAATCCGGCTATATTTTCTACACACACCACCCTTAGTAGTTTAATTGACTTTAATAACAAGTATTACGCACTCTAAGAAACCGGTAATTAAGTTATGTATTACCAGGCGGAGTATCTATGTGACTCTACAGCATGGTAATTTATTTATTATTGAGTGGTAGACATTTTGTTACCAAACCGATAATAACTCCGGTCGCGAAGAGAGAACCCCTTTGCTGTTGAAAACCTTTTTTTTGCAAATTTTTTTTCGAATTTTGTAGGCAAATTATGACCAAAATTTGCCTATGGCATTGAGAACTTGTCTCCAGAGAAATCGGCTCCAGATGCGGTGTGACCCTGCGGTGAGGGTCATCCGTTTGTTGTTATAAATTTCCCAAAATTTCGAACCGTTCGGAGCTGTACAAAGACCAAATTTCGCTCAACCTTGATTTTTTTATGTGCATGTGATGTGCATTAAGCTCATACATACAGTAAATAGTTATGTACAAATACATAATAGGTGATTATGGCTAGCATAAACGTCTAATAAGTATGTAGTTTTCCATTGTTATGTACGTACCATTCAAGTCATTTACTGCACATGTAAAGCACGTGGAAAAATTAACCTTTGTATTCTACTTGGACATTACACTACACTTGTACCTACCTACTTATAAAATATATGTACACCAATACTTGATCTCGTATGTACATATGTACATAAATTAAAATTTGTGCACATGCTATCCCAAATAAATAAATGTATGCATGGTCAGTTCACATCACATGCATAATAATATGTGTGCACAACCAGCTATCTCAAGTATTTATTAAGTGAGACAGGCTGTTCATTATGTGGCGTGCAAAAAATATTTGTCCTACCTACACCACATTGTAAGTAATTAATTAATTTGTACATATGTACATCAAGTTGGAAAGAATCGTCATGTGATGAGTGATCATGCAAATTTTTTGTTATGACGTAAATCACAAGGTTTAAGTTACAAAGCATTCGCTCACCTAGAACTTTGTTCAACCTCACGGAGTAAGCGTGACGACTGCATGCAATTCAATGATGATGCATTTATTTAAACATGTAGCATGTGGGAAATCATCACTATAAAAACTGGTTACCTCGGTTGTATTTTGTATATAAATACGCCGGTTACTAAACATTCCGAATAATATCCAGCAGGATTCTTCAAAAGTAATTTGCACCTCAATTATTTAAAAGTCCAACGATCGTTTTTACCAGATAATACATAACAAAATGGGTGATGCAAGGTGCATTTCAAGAAATAGCCTGTCCCCACTTCCCCTCGGTCATATACAGGAGAAGACCGTGGGCGTCAAATTGGACGGACCTTCTTCCAGTGAACCATCTCTCTTCTCCCCAATCACAATTAGAGGTCTTACTTTTAATAATCGGATTTTGGTGAGTAAATAGATCAAGATTTTTCAAAATGTGTATGTATGTAAATTCAAATAATTTGGTTGTACGTATCTACTACCAGGCGGTGATTATGTATGTATGTATTATGTGACTGTGCAGCCCTGGTAAAAAATTCGTTGATAGTAAATTTATCACCAAAATGGTAATATTTTTTTTAATCTGTGGCTGCATTTGATATATAAGAGCCCAGTAAATAATTTAATATAAGTAGTCGGTAGAAAATTTTTTACACTGACTGTTTAGCTATACCAATAAGCGTTTTTTTACCGGATTATTTAAAGTGCATGATTTTTTTCATTTACTAATAAAATTCCACCGGTAATACATAAGCGTTTTTTACCGGATTATTTATACTGAACGATTTTTTTCACTTACATAGTAATAAAATTCTACAAAGAGTAAATAAATATGAAATTTACATTTTTTTATACATAAAATTCTTAGGTTTCTCCCATGTGCATGTACTCGTGCCAAAACCAAGACGGAATATTTACTGATTTTCATCTCGCCCATATCGGCACTTTGTCACTCCGTGGTCCCGGCCTGGTCTTCATTGAAGCCACCGCCGTCCAACCGAATGGTCGGCTAAGCCCGCAAGACACCGGACTATGGAATGAAGACCAAGAACTTGCCCTATGTCGCCTCGTCAGGTTAGCGAAGGCATGCAACGGAGCCAGGATTGGCATTCAGCTGGCTCACGGGGGACGAAAAGCAGCCGCGTACCCGCCATTCCATCGCTTTGAAGAGACCGGGGGTCAAATTGCGAGAGGCATCGTGCCCAACGAGGAGGGCGGTTGGGCGGCCGATCTCGTGGCACCGAGTGCAATTCCGTGGAAAGATAATGGCGAATATCCTACGCCGAATGAGTTGACCAAGGAGCAGATTAAGGAACTCGTGGCGGCTTGGGCATCTTCGGCGGAAAGAGCGGTCCGAGCAGGGGTGGAAGTCATTGAGGTATGAAAATCTAAACTAACAATGGAAGTATGCTCACAGATTTGGACCAAATTCGGGTCAATCGATCGCAAATATAATTAGTATGAAATTTGCAAATGGAACTATCTGAAAATGCGCAGGTTTGGCGGAGATATTTGCATCCAAAGCGAGAAAAATGCGCAGCTAATTTGGAAAACGAAAAATTTGCCAGCCTTGGGGGTGCGTTTTCTGCTCTTTTTATGCAAATATCTCCGCTAAACTTGAGCATTGGCAGATAGTTGCATTTGCAAATTTCATGCTACTTATATTTGTGATCGATTGACGCTACTTTGGTCCAAATCTGTGAGCATACGTTGGGAGACCTCCATTGTTAGTAGGTAAATTAAGTTGGCACTAAATAAAGTTGTACAAAATCTGTACAAGGTTGACTAAAAAATAGGATGAGACGACTGGTTGTGTCATAAAATTTATGAAATTCTGTGTATGTTAAGTCTACAAATCTTGCACGAATTGTATTAAAAAATGTAAGACAATTTTGCGTCATCCTTTTTTTAAAGTCAACTTATCCATAACTTTATTTACAGTGTGCATTAATTTTCACAGAAATTGAGTAACATTTTTTATTTTTTATTTTCCTTTTTTCAGATACATGCCGCACACGGCTATCTCATTCACGAATTTCTTTCAGGACACACTAATCAACGTAGTGACGAGTACGGAGGAAATTTTGAGAATAGAATTCGATTCTTGCTTGAAATTGTGTCCGCAATTCGAACAGTTATACCGGAAGAAATGCCACTATTTTGTCGTCTATCTGGGACGGATTATGTTGACGGATTGTTGTCAAAGGATCCAACTGGATGGGATATTTATCAGGTGACCGAGTTATGTAGAAGATTTACACCATTGGGGGTGGACGTGGTGGATCTTTCTTCTGGGGGAAATTTGCCTACGGTGTTCAAAGGTGGAATTGGTCCAGACTTTGGATTCCAGCTTCCACTCGCAGAAGAAGTGAAGAAGGCGAATATTCCAGGGTTGAAGGTTGCTGCGGTGGGGTCACTACAGAATGCAAAGTGAGATCAAATGCATATTTATTAATTATACGAAAATTTCAAAAACCAAAAATTATTACCGAGCCATGTTTCCCCTTAATTCAAGTCATGTAGTCTGACCACTAACAATGCGATGGTGTGAAGTGTAACCCTCCGATTTGGTTGAAGTTTTGAAATTACGTGGTCCATGTCAATATAACCATAGGAAGTTTGTGCGATAGTAAGAATTTGGCAAAATATTAGAGGACTAAGTTTATAAACGGGCGATTTTTACTAGGGGAAGGTAACAAACTCAACTTCAATTCTCTTCCCGTGCTAAAAATCGCATATTTTTCAACTTTGCCATCAAATATTTTGACAAATTTCGACTATCGCACAAACTGCCTGAAGAAACGTTGGTTGTATTGACATGGACCACGTAATTTCAAAATTTCAACCAAATCGGAGGGTTACACTTTACACCATCGCAATGTAAGTTACATACTAGGGAAATTCCTGATATTCTCGGAATCATGCTGATATTTTTCTGTGAATTTCTGTGATTCTCCGTAGAGGTGGCGACGAACTATTTACCTACCCCAGGAAAGAACATATACGATCTTCCCCTTTTTCCGGGCCCAAAAAATGCATAACTTTGGGAATTTATTTCAGAAAAAGTCCATCGAGCCGCATCTCAAAATTTTTATCATTACCGCAACCGGTATCGATAATTACAATATAAAAAAATTGAGGTGCGGCTCGATGGACTTTTAGTGGAATGGCCAAAATCCCGAGAGGGTTTTTAATGCAATTTTACGAAAATGTACCCAAAAAAGTGGTCACCGTTGCCAACTAAAAAATCTCACGTTTAAAATATCTATCAGTATAGCTTCGCGTAGCCCGAACCAAGATTTATTAGTAAATAAACCGTAGCAACAAAATGTAGCACTAGGGTGAAACAAGTAATTCCAAGCTAGAATCTTACTTCAATAGAACCAATTTTACTGGACAGAAACAAGCACTTTAATGTACTGGATTAAAAAAACTTAACTTAAAACTTTTGTACGATTTAAAAATGTGAAACCTTATATGCTAGGTATTAGGTCTAGTACGTAACTGTACACAAAGGTCAAAAATATTTTTTACGATTTTTCCGACGGCCACTGATTTTGTGAAGAACAAGTTTTTGGTCAACAAAAATCCCCACCACGGCGAAAAATCGAACACTTAAATATACATTTGCATATACATAATCTGAACATGGTCACGCTTTGCTCACTTTTAACTTCATATTAGTCCACTAGAGTAGAGGCCCGTTCAAGAACGGGTTCTAGGCCCCCAGAGGGGGGTGTGCCCATAGCGCAAAATCCCTAAACTTTAAATAATTTCCAGTAGAGACTTTGTCCCTTGTCATAGCGCATACATGCATCAAAGTGCCCAAGTCAAGTATTTCAATTTCCCTGGTTACGGAACAATCTGATTTCCCCCTGTGGGAGTGGCTGGATAGCTAGCCACTTAAATTCTCACGTTCCACGCTCACATTAATTTCCACAAACCCCGTTGACTTCCACAAACCCCGTTAACTTCCTCAAACCCCGTTGACTTCCACAATCCCCTTTAACTTCTACAATTAACGCCAAGCTATTGACGGCGTTGGATTCAGCGTTAAAAATACATTGGAATTGATATGCGACATCACGAATAAGCAATATTTGAACCCCACGGTCACGGGAAGCTCACGGGGGCCTCGCAGGTCAAAACCATTGACGGCGTTGGATTCAGAGTTAAAAATACATTCGAATTGATATGCCACTCGCTGTGGGTGGAGTTTATCAAAGTAAAATAATTAATTAATAGTGTTTATCAAGATCACTTATCATGATAACCACTATTGATGAGTGATGTATACTGCTCACACTCACTCAATTTACTTTCACACTGTGTTTATATATTAAAACATTTAATTTGAGTTTGATGGCAAGTGTACGTATGTGAAAGTCACGTGAAGTTCAGACTCATGCGGTAGGGAGCAGCATTTTCATGCATGCATTTATTCATGCAGTAGTTACTCCGCGTCCTTCTTTGTATTCTCTATGGGGCAATTTGCATTCGATCACCCAGGGATCACACTAACGCTTTATATAAGAGATGAGAAGCCATTAAGTATCACCGTGCCGAATTCCAGTTTTTTAAGCTAATTTCTGAAAATCGGTATGGGTCGCCCCATAGGGTCCCTCCGGTAAAAAAAAAAACTTATGATACCCCTTACATTACGACATTATATTTACATTAGGACAATTGTACCGAATTTTAGAATTTGAATTTTCGAATATGCGTCGTCTAATTATTTGGAATACAGAGGGGTGGGACAGAAGAAGGAGCCACTTTGCCTAAATTTATTCCGGCCTTATTATTCGTTTGTGAAGTTTGGTAATTGGTTCAGTGTGAAGCCCTTTAGTTTATCTAACGAGCCTCAGTCGCTTTTTCCAACCAGTCATGACCTTTGACACAATTTTCAGAGTGATTCTGCACCACTCGTCCTGAACACTTTTCCAAAGTGCATCAAAACGCACGCGTTTTCCTTTCAAGAAGGCTCTGTTTTAAGTACTCGAATCCAAAAAAAACATCGGATTGATATCAGAGGAACTGACGAGAGTTTCTATAGTAGGAATAATTGTTATACCCAAACTTTTTTTAAAATCCTTCGTGTAGGCTGATATTTTGTGAGAAATAAGTTGGGATGAGAGCATGATCTCGGGATTTCCTACGAGTCACTTGCTGTAGGTCATTGTGAATGACTCTAGAAATGTTCTCCTACTAACGTTTAACATTTTCGCCATGCAACTTTTAGTTGGTGGATTTACCGTTTTGGCGAAAAATTGATTTTCCGGATAAACTTTTTGGTTCAAGCGGATCTTGGGTATCCTTTCCGTGGGGGTGGAGCTCTAACCGCTGTTTCCCTCCGCTTGATTCCAACGTTTTTAAGTACATTAGAAACGTACTTTCGATCGACGATAAATCCATTTGCAGCAAATTTTCTAACAATCGCTCTCTGGCTCAATATGTCTTTGGAAAACACTTTTATGTGTGCCTCGCACTCTGGGGGGTGCTGCAGGGGCATTTTTAACCGTAGGGAAAATCTGAATAGTGCTAAATTTTCGTTAACTATCTGGGTATGACATATGCAAATTTTGAAAATGCCGCGACTGTGCATCACACGCCACCCCTAAAATTCAAGTGGCTCCTTCTTCTGTCCCACCCCTGTACTCTGGATCAACGACCCCACCTGACATGTATGTGACCCCTACCGGTCCAACTCCTTTTTGATCGACCCCATCTTCGAACTTTGTCGCTGTATTATGCAGACAAATGTTGTTGCCAAATTTGGTCAAAATCGGTCAATGTTCTAAAGTTAGCGAAAGACAGACAGACAAACAGACATGACGACACATCAAGCCATGGTTCGGGCTAAAATCTAAACATTTGATTATTTGGCTGTAAATCACCAAGTTACGATATTTAAATGCTCGAAAAATTGAGTAAATAAAGGGGCCGGGGATTTTGGCTCGAAATCGTCTCTAAGGGGCCGCAAAAAAGGGGAAGTTCGTATGTGTCCTTTCACTTTGATCCAAAGTTCAATTTTATTCCGAACTGCAAGTTTCAATATATAATCCACCCTTATAACCATAATGATTTAACGTTAAAAGAAATTAAGATGTTATAAATATAACGATTATTGAACAATTATTTAAAATTCAATAGATTATCCGATGAGGCGGTTCGTTCAGGCAAGGCGGACTTTATTGGGATTGGGCGTCACTTTCTGAAGGATCCAAACTGGGTTTACACAGCGGCAGAGGAATTAAACGTGAATATTAGATGGCCCGCGCAATACTCGTGGATGTGGTCGTGGGGCAAATAGCAGTCACACGCCTTCACCTTATCCAATTGTGATAAATTCAGGACACAATTATTGGGTAATATGTATAGGAATTGAGAATAAATAAGTATTTCATGTACGAATTTTTTGGATTCTTTCTTGGGTAGAAACTTGTTACATACATATTCCAATAAAAAATTAACCTTTTCAACATATATATTTCGTAAATATTTCGTGCTTATTTTTTATCAAATCACATCTGTAATGGAGAATTTTACCTAGAAATTTGGAGGACACTATGACCCCTGATGACCTGGTTAGTGACCTCGATGACCCACAAACCTCCATTGCAGACGACGACCCAAAACTCATCTTGAAAAATCGTATCCCACTTACCACCAAAAATGCAACAAAAATGTGCACAAATTATGCAAAATTTCATATGAAATAGGTGCATGCATTTTTTCATCCGTTTTCATTTCCTACGTACATACGCACACAGTCGTATGTATTAGGAATTAATTAATTTACAAGAACCACAGTTTCGATTGTCGCACACGGGTGATCATCCAAATTATGCATAATGGGACGTTGCATAAAGAATTTTATACACTTGAGCCAAGTCCTTACATTGTCAGTATTTAGATATGCAGTCTAATATCCATCCCGCATTTTTGAACATATTTATGTACGTTCCACAGGTACGTTTTAATGCCAAAAATTATATCATGCTTTATGTACGGCCTCATCATTTAAACAACTTCGACATTACTGGAGTAAGAACGTGTGTGAGATACACGACATGTAGGTGTAACGTTACATGATGTATCGCCAACAGACATAAATATGTATGGCATTGCCCTTATGTACGAGGATATGCACAAGCAAGGCATTTAGCGAGACAGCAAGCAAGCATAACTTGCCTGTATTTGGTTTGATTCGTATTTTTGCAACCTTTTTTGCAGACAAGGTGAATCTTGTCGGGACGAGAGTTGCGAATGTGCACCACCACCATGACTATTTCTCTCGTCCATACGTGTTCAAACTTGTTCATTCAGAGCAAGAATGCAATTCACCCTACATTTACGATACGTCACTCTCGCGTACATATGTATGTAAATGTAGTGTTGGCTTATTCATATAAAAGTTGTTCGCCTCCACAAATTCAGGCACACTTGTCTACTGGAAGCAGCAAGAGAAACATTAACACACTAACATAAACTGCAGTTTATTAACGGAACATATATAAAATACCGGATTATATTTGTGAGATTCATCTTCATCCAAAAAAGGTATGTAGCTTTTAACAATTTTTAATATTTCACGATACATTAACTTTGAAAGAATTTTGCTTTAAGACAAATTTTCCTTTTTGAAATTGTACAAGCTGGAGAAAGTCCAGTCTAAATAACTTAATTATTATTTTTGCATTCTTGGACATAAATTTGTTACATATGTACATATTCCAATAAAAAAATAAACTTTCCTTAACATAGTAATTTTTTGTGTTGATTTTAGAACCCTACACATCAACAATGGAGAATATTACAAATTTGGAAGAAATCATCATCCCTGAAGACATGACTGTTGACCTCAATGACCCGCAAGCCGACAATGCTGACGACGAGCCAAAAACCTTCATGGGAACCCGTACCCCACTTATCACCAACAATGCCACACAAGTTATCGACGACAACGACACACAAACTATTGATGATGACGCTGAGACACAATTTGTCACCTCGGAGGAATTAGAAATTTCAAAAGAGGACACAATTCTTCCCCCACCCCCCGCCCCCTACACGGCGGAACCTAATCACGAAAAGATTGAGGACCTACCTGTCAAGGAAGGAAAGAAGCCCCTTCATAAAATTTCCCGCTTGTCCAAGTCCCCAATTAGCAAACGGTATCGCACCGTGAGCAAGAAATGCAACGGATCATTCACAAATTCTCAACAACTGCTTGGAAACATTGTTCAACTTTTGGAATCCCAATTTTCCTGCAGCATTTCCTGCAAAAAGTTGCGACGCCGGTCACTCGTCTCAATCCGGTCAAACGTCCCCTCTCCACTTTATAACGGAGTCAAGTTTGAATAAAATTGTACGTTTGCATATTAGTATTTTTTGTAATTACATCTTTACGTATGATTTGTGCACAAATTTTTGTATGATTTGAAGACCTTGCAAATAAATCTATGTAACGTTGTCGGATAAACTTTACACTAGATAGTCGTCCTTAAAACTTGTCAAAGTAGTTAACTACACTAATTTTTTATTTACATTTCGTAATTTTAATAGCAATTGTCTCCCCTGAGGAATTTAAACTGTTTACAGTATTTATCTGATTTAATAAATTAACTGATTATTAATCACACATTATGCAAAGTTTAAATGCGAACAAAATAAATGTCAAACTTATATAAGTAATCTGCGTTGTACATGCATTTAATTAAATACATAAATATATACTTTAAACTCCATGCAAAATTTTAATTTACATAGAAAAGAACAATTGATAGAAACATTTGTGGCATAAATTCTCCATATAAAATTTTTAATTCTTGTTTGACGCATATTAGTTCGATCATTTATACAAATCACTGAATTTACATAATTCACTTCAAGCTTCTTTGCAGAGAGGAGCATTTTCAAGTTTTAAAATTTAGCAGACAGGCCAACCTTTCACATAAAGCAGTAGTTCAACTTTTTTTATTAAAATAAATAAACGCTTAGTTAAACCATAATTATTTAAAAGAATATTTGTAATATCATACATACAAGCCTATAATAAAAATTGAAGTGAGTGCACCCACTTAAAATAAATGCGACACGTTATCTACATACATACATGTGTGTGCACGCTTACAAAGGATAAAATTTATATTCAGGAATTGCATATCTACCTTAATCTGCTCCAAGCCTGACTAATAATACTTATACTTTCTGTCTACAACATAACTTGGTACACTTTGCATGTATGTATATAGTTCAATATGATCGCACACAAATCGGTATACAGATAAATATATACCGGGGAATAAATCTATTAGTTTTTTAATTGACCCGAAATTTCATTTTTCCATCAGAAGAAAAATTGCGCTAATTACTAAGAAATGTTGCCTAAGTGCATTATCCTGTCAAAATTGGGAACATTCCGCTTAATCTAATGGAATAAAATGTGTAGATTTTAAAAGGTGAAAGTGTAACAAACCACATTTCATATTTGGTGTAGTTCACACCTTTAAAAGTTTGTACTTTTCCACGGTTCCATTTTCATGAAGGGAGGGAATGTTATGAAATAATTTAATCGCACTATTATTTATGTTCATTTAGGGAACGCTCAGATATCATGATGTCGGAAAAGTGGGTGGATGATTATGTTTCTTAATTTCGATTTCTATTTTACCCCTGGCAAACGAAGAAAACCTAAAATCCGATCCTAAAGTTAGTTTAAAATTTCTCAAAAATTCTTGATTATTTCAAGAAACTTTTAATAAATATTGCCAAAAATTTCCAAAACTATCCCTGCAACCGCGTTTGCGCTAGAAATCCAACCCACTTGTCTTGCTCGTGTTAAGCTGAAAATGAATAGGATAGGGAAGGTTGGTCTAAAAATTATTTAGCGGCTTTCTGATGACGTAATACATGAACGTTCTCACGTGAAAAAGCACATGGTGATGAGTAACGATGTCCTATTCTTGGCAAACTCGCGTGATTGGGTTGCATATTTTATGGATTTCGTTCGTAGAAGATGTTGTGGTTCGATCCACTCGTAAAGTGGAAATCTACCTGCCTCACCCCATTTTACGGGTGGAAAGGTACGTAAAAAAGTCAAAGGTCATGGAGCCCTGTTAATCTTTAATATGCTGCAGATATGTAGTTATGTCACCTCTCTAAATGAGTCGTACGTATTCCTTATTTAAGGCAACGCGGGGCTAATCATGGTGCACTAAGCTGCTCCCAACAAAGTAGGCTGGTTTTATTGCACCAATGAACAATTACATAGGTACATATGTACGTACGTGCCTCAAATTATATGCATTATGCGTAACCTTTCTGCAGAGTACACTCTAAAAATTGACAGACTTTGTTGTCGTGCTGTCAGAAGTATGTAGGATTTAGTTTCACTCGATATATCTAATTTTGCTTAGTTTCCAACACTTAATAAATTTTAGATCGGTTGCCAGACATTAACTATTTTTTTACCTTCGAAAAAATTCAAAATTCTTAACGAATCGGAAAATACAACGCATTCCGATCATTTTTCAACAAAAATTAATAAAACCCATCAAGGATTGGTGAAATGGTGGTAAACTTTGTAACTTTACCTCAGTCACCCTTCTCGTAATCCGGTATAATTTCTTAGAGTGTAAAATTGTACCCAATCACCAATCTGACATTACTCATCCGGAGAAAGTCTTGTCAGAGTGATTAACTCCATTTTTTATTACTTACCCATAACCTACCCAAACCGGCAGGTTAAACGGTATGAGCATGAATTTCTTATGAAATACATAATCCACACAGATTACCGTATAAAAGAGAGTGAAACCTTTTCCCTGACCTTTTACACACATCACAAAAAAAATACTTGGTCCATTTTTGGGACAAATTTCGTAGCTCTCTTTTTGCCGAAAAAATGCAGGACAAAAATGCTGCTCCGTTTTTCGAATTTGAAATAAATTCTGACGTCGATTCGATTTCACGAATCGATGACGACGCTGGTGAAATTGAAGGAGTGGTCCCTGCTCTAAACCGCTCCGCTAAGCTGTATCTTCGGCTTGGGCGATTGATGAAAGTCAAGTACAGTTGTGAGTACAAATTTGCACATTTGGACATTACATTCTTGATGTATTTCACTTTATTTTTCTTTAAAAAAATTTCTTTAAGTACGATATTTAATTCATATATAACTACAAGTTGCTACTAGCACATCTGGTAGCAACCAATTAAATTTTCATGATTTCCTATAAGGTACCAATAGTTATTTAAACAGGTTTTGAGTTTTTTCACGAAAATCACGAAAACTCCACTTTTTGCCATTGATCGGTATAGGGAAAATTCCAAAATTTGTGGAGAAAAATATCCAAAAAAGTCAACTTTTTACTATCGAGTTTTCAAGTTAAATAGAGATTTATACACCTCACAGATTGGCCTTGTAGCCCGATCAGAATGCAGATTACGGATTATGGAATCGGAATCAAACTGGGAGACGATTTCTCAACCAAACTGCAACTCCGAGCGGAGCGTAGTTTGCAGGGCGACGGAAAGCGTATGACGATTGGGAATCTGATCCGGACCCATAATGGCAAACAATTTGTGGAAAGAATCAATTTTTTCTATCCAAATTCGGTACACGAAATGGTTAAATTTACCATTTTGAACATAATTCAAACTAAATTAAAAACATTTTTAGATTGGGGCAAACTCTATCGATTTTTTTAGCCCGGGTTCTAACGTCCGTGTCGGATGGATCAAGGCCGGTAGAAATGTCGGTGACGGGGCTAAAATCGGGTTTGATTCTGACCCTGTTCAGTCTCCGAGATTTACCACGTGCCAGAGTAGTACGGGTGGGAGGGGTGTTTTGGTAAGGAAAGTGTGACACGGGAACGTCCATATATTACGTCATTAAAAAGGTGGGGGATTGGTTTTTCATCATCCTTATTGCCTGGGTTAATCTTAACATAAGTAGGGTAGGGGAGGGATGGGTGGTCGTCTAATAATCGTCGTTTTTTAATGACGTAATATATGGGCGTTCCCAACAGTTAAACATTATTCTTGATTATTCAATCCGACATATTTTTAATAATTTCTCGACTCTGAGAACGTATTTTAAAATTCTGGGCGACAAATTTCCAGTCAGTAGGTAGATTAATAAAATGGCGGTGAGTTTTTTAAGCCAAGTTCGATTTCTCTAAACTTGATAGCCTCCTTCAAAAACTGTCTGAAGGATATATTTTGTAAAAGTTGCCAACAACCTGCTCTACAAAGTATTTTGTCCACAACTTTAAAATAAATTTTTAGAGGCGAAAACCGATTAAAAATGTACTGATCTTGCCGATGAGTCATCGAGTCCTATATGTTAAGGATTCTGCCCATCTAAATATGTAGCTTTCCGCGAATAAACCTAGTTTTCATGCAGATTCGAAATTCTGTCGGTCGGACGGTCGCAGCTGGACAAGCTACTCGATGGAAGATTTCTTGGGGGAGTAAAACGTATCAAGAGTTCCGGATTCTTCTTCCTGCGAGGGTAGTTTCAGAGACTGAAAGAAACCTTCTTTTTGCCGTGCTCATCCTCTGGGTAAATTTAATCTATGTACAATAGATAACAGATATTTGGAAAATATTCAAGAACTCGGAATGCACTCTTAAAAATAACGTCACCTATTGGAAAGATAAATGCAGTCTAAATTAAGCAAACATATCAGTAGTAAATAACTAACTAGTGAAAGCTTGATTTACTAAAGAGTAAAATTAGAAAGAGAAAAGGTATATTATTTTTAAGAGTGGGTTAAGGTGCTTCAAGGTGTGTGTTATACATTTGTCATCTCATTCCACCCGCTACCCATATTTCACAAATTACACATCCGTAAAATGAAATTAAAAAAAAATCAGTTTTACGAATCAAATGAAACTTTTGTTAAATGACAAGCCAAACTCTGGCACTGCAAACGGATGGCGTTGGAAAAAATGTGCTAATTAATTCTGCCTGGTAAATTTTCATTGTTAAAAATAGAACATAAAAATCTATGTACATTTTTTCAATTTCACAAGTTCGTAATCTCAAAAATTAGCTCTACTTCTACATATGTACCTATTTAAGTAGTAAAAAATCATTTATCTCAAAACTCATGAAATTTAGTATTAATTTTTGTAATAAAGGTATTGCGTAGCGTGATTGTATGCAGCGCGAGATGAAAAGCAATAGCACATCAAAGCGTTATCTTATAGCGTAGTTTTTAAAACTGTAAAAATTAAGTATCCATTCAGAATTAATATTTCGTTTGTTTCCCAAATTTCAAAGGCCATACGTTTGTAGTGCCATTTAAGAAACAAACGTTTCATTTATCTCGTATACATAAGTAACTGATACATAAAACTGAACAAATTTTAGAAATTTAATTTGTTTCCCAAATTTCAAACAGGGTCTGAATATAATGGATCTAGTCCAAGAAGATAACCGCACGAGGAGTGTGATCACTGCGGCAATTGGCGTGTTCCTGGTCGCCCTGGTTGTTCTTGTCCGGCTATATTTTCTACCCACACCAACCTTAATATTTTAATTGACTTGATCAACTTTCATGGCAAGTTTTATACACAGTACGAAATTTAAACTGATATCAGATTTTTAATATGGTACATCCATACACTTCTGGCCCAAGTTTCGTGGATTGTGGAAAATTTTAGATGTACGCATTCACAACCATAATTGTTCACCCTCAATTAATTTTTGCCATCATTCTAAATTTAATTATAGAAAAGTACATTGTTTAAGTTCATGATTATTTTTTTAAGCTGCGCAAACAGATATGTACATAAATACAAACAAAACATTCACTGCCACTTCTGTCAAACTCGATTAAGCAATACTCATCATCAAGACTAAATGTCACAAATTTATGAAGGTATCAATTAAACCGCCCAATAAAATTTTTTTTGTTCCAACCAAAAGTGACAATTTATGTATGTAAATGCACGGGATTTGCAAAGTATGAGTAGAAATTCTGGTGTAGAATAAAGTTAGTTTTACAAAAATCTTGCATAATTTTTCTTGTGAAAACGCGCAAAACCCTAAAATCTACGAGGGGATAAAATCCTACCAGTTTCTACAATAAATTCTTATTCTGGCACCTTTATAACCTGAAACCTGAAACAGAACAAAAATGTACATGCAAAAATCATGAAAAATTTCAGGTCAAGTTGATTCATGAATTTTTCATCCGATTCAATTCATTGCGTGTGTATTTATGTAGTTACATACATATAGGTATAAGTCAACTTACTAGTGAGAAACCCAGCGTGGAATATTGCCATCACAAATATGCATAATAGGACTATGCATAAAGAATATGATACCTTTAAGCTGTCTCACATGAGTGCATGCCAAACTTCACTCATGCTTCATGCACGGTCGCATCATTCGCCCAACTTCTGGAGCTATAACGTGGGTAAGATACACGATACATATGTGAATGGCCAACATTTGACATTGCACTTACAATGATACAAGCTAAATATGCATTTGGCGAGACTGCATTATTACTTGCCTGGTTTTGTTATGGTTCGTTTTATTGCAGACAAGGTGAATCCTGTCGGGACTAGAGTTGCGCATTGTGCATTACCATTACTCTCTTTCGTCCAAACGTGTTCAAACTTGTTAATGTTCAGAGTAAGAATACAGTTCACTCCACATTCGCGAAACGTCACTCTCACGTAAATGCGGGGTTGGTTTATTCATATAAAAGTTGTTCGCCTCCACAAATGCAGGCACACTTGTCGAATGAAAGCAGGAAGATGAACATTACCAATATTTGGTACGGAAAGTGTTGCTGGTTTTGGCAGAATTAAACGAAAGACTCCAAGTCTCATCGCCAAAATCTTCAAAATTTAAAAATTAAGTGGCCGTCCATAAATAATGAGAGATGGGGGCATAAGACTAAGGCGACATTAGTATAAATGTATTGAGTTTGACGATTTTGTCGAGGAGTAATCAAGTCTTGCATTAAACGAAATTATTCTAATCGTAAGATGTAAATTTTCTCGAATAAACCTTACATATTTATTTTTATGCAGATTCAAAATTTTGTCGGGCGGACGGTCGCAGCTGGACAAGTTACTCGATGGAGGGTTTCATGGGGGAGTATATAAGACATACAAAGAGTTCCGGATTCTTCTGCTCGCCAAGGGAGTTTCTGAGGCTGAAAGAAACCTTCTTTTTGCCGTACTCATCATCTGGGTAAACTTAGAAACTATTTATTTGATAATGGTAAAAACATTTAGAAAATGTTCCCCAAGTCGGCACACACTCTTGAAATAGTGTTGATCTTATATCTACACTCTGATTTCTACCCCTTATATATTTATACGTATTGAGTGAACTATTCCAAACCTAGAGAAACATTGACTTGATAAGAGTCATATAACTTTTCAAAAGGACGCATTATTTTCTAGAGTGTATTTGAACCACCAGATGATGGATTGACTCTAATTTATTGTTGGTCTCACGCTACCAGCTAAATATTCACCGAGTTCAAGCAAAAACTCGTAAAATTTGATTAATTTTGTGAGGTTTGGGATAAACAAATTTTCCTTGCTTAATGTAGATCTAATTTTTTGAAATATGTATCTACAAATGTGCGGACAGAAGTTTTTTCCCGTCAAAAAATGGTTCGTACAAGATTTTTTTGAAATTCAGATTCCATATTATATCCTGAGTTACATAAGTATATTTCATCGTCAAAGTTTCAGAAACAATAATTTATTCAATGTTTAATAAAGAACTGTTGCACCGTGTACTTAACTGTTTGATACACTGTATAGGGAGAAGTACCAAATAGATAACTAATTTTTTCCTAATTCATAATCTCAAAAATTAACTCCACATTTAGTTAAAAAAAACTTCATTCAAGTATCTCAAACCGTATAAAATTAATTCTTGTATAGCAATTTTCATGTAAACATATTCCATGTTGTTACTTAGCGTCAGATAAAAAAATAATGGCACATAAACCCGTCATCCTGTAGAACCGTAAGTAATTTTTAAAACTATAAGAAATAAGTATCCATTCATTCAAAATTATTTTTGATGTACATATTCCAAAATTTTAAACAGGGCCTGAATATACTTAATTTGGTCAAACAAGACAACCGCACGAGGAGTTTGATCACTGTGGCAATTGGCGTGTTCTTGGTCGCCCTGGTTGTTCTTATCCGGCTATATTTGCTTGTCAAAGCAGCCGTAAAATTTTAACCGACTTCATTAACTTTTGTACATAGGAGGCTTTTCATATACCACACAGCAACATTTATTCATTTTGCACTCGAGCAAGAAATTCCCAGGAATTTTAGGAAAATTTGAATAGATAGTTGTGTATATGTGGATAAGAGATTATTCTCTTATGTTTGAAACCTCCATCGGGTCTGAAATCTACAGCTGCATTTAATTTTTTAAGCATTCTCTGTATAAGAATGTTCACTGTCAAAATTCATGTTTTCTTCAGCTGAACCAATAAATAAATTCGAAAAAAACATATGTACCAATACATTACGCATTTATGTCAAACATGACTAATAAATTTACATCGTGAACGACTAAATTATTAAATCTTATCAAATTGCTCAACTATAAACACTGTAAATAATTTTGAAGCAAATCGTCACCCGCGGATGTACTATGTATAATGCTCTATTTTTGGTTAATAATTTTGGAGATGTTTTGTCACCAACGGGTAATAAGGCAGAGAGCTCGTGTACCAAACACACGTTACGTCGTTATTTAAACAAGTCAACGCGGCATTAACAAAATTCTGAGTGCTTAACAAAACTTTGCGTTAATTTCAAAATTCTGAATTGGCAACAGGACATATCAGAACTCCGTTGTAACATTAACTCCTTACTCACATTCTAATTTAGATTTCGTTAAAATTTTGTTGCAAAATGTCTGTGGTCCCAAATTTACGGCTATAGCCAGCTATTCCCAACATTCCCAGTTGGTTTAAACATAATAAGTACCGGATTGTATCTAGCGATTCCGCTAGATCATTAGATCTATGGATTAACTTAAAATGCTAACCAAAATTCCATAATTCGATCGTGGCATACTAATACGGAAAATGCAATTATTTTGCAAACTTCAATACATAGGAAAATTGGGGTCCGAAATCGAGGCAGCGGCCAAATTCGAGTGTAAAATAATTTTTAAAATTATTTCCCGCGATATTTGACCAAAAGTTGGACTAGTTTGAGTCAAAATCCAAAATTTGCAAAAAATTCGCACATTTTACCTCAGATCTCGAAAACTGCTGGACGACCACCCCAATTTTATTACGGATTTTTGATCTACTAAATATTACGCAACTTTTAAGCCATCGAACTCGAAAATCGTTAGAGCGCGAAAAAATCACTATTTCATTGTATATATCTATCTTAAAAATTGAACATTTTTATCAGAACATATGATTTTGTTTACATAAAAGTGTTGATTGTTTTAAATTACGGCGTCACGTGTGTTTGCTACACGAGTTTTTGACTTATTTACCATCAGTGACAAAACGTATCCTAAATTACTTCCAAAAATAGAGCACTATATTACCTCCGCTGGTGACAATATGTCTCAAAATTATTTAAAGTGAACGGAGAAGGGAGCAGGTAGATTGACAGAACATGAAAATTCGCAAATAAATTCAAATAAGATTGAAATTTTGAATGCTTAATAAGTGTGTATTTATTTCATTATTTCGGAAATTAAGACACGAAACCGGGAATAATGACATTTACTTCGGGCACGGTTGCATTGCCCACACTTGCCCATAGTTGTACGGATAGTACCAATCCGCCCAGAGAGTCATTGTCAAACTATTGCCAGGAGTGGAATCACTGAAAAATTTCGCAAATAATTTTTAAGGGTGTTCCTGGTACTCGATAGTTATTTGGTTTTATTCGCCCTAATCTTAGGGCAAATAAATAATTTTCTACCCTAAAAAAATTAACAAAATGAGGAAATGGCCTTGCCGGGTAGCAGATTGCCCGGCAAACATTTCAGGCCGGGTATCCCGTGAACCCGGAGCACCCCAATATATTACCCTAACCTTAAATGTAGTGGAAGTATATAAGTCGTACCTGGTGTATTCAATTGTATCGTTAATGGACCCATTTCCGGACTGAATTATTTGGTAGACATGGTTCCAATCGGGAAGGTGGTAGAATGTCCAGTGATAGTTACTGTCCTTATGATCCTGAAAATCCAAGATATAAATGTGTAGCAAGTACATATATTTATTTTTTCAAAATTCATGAGAAAAAGTAGTAATTCGTTACTTATATATTTCGAATTTTGAAAATATGTAAATATGGAGGGTCTTCAATTTGACTTAATACATATGCTAGCAACTTTCGTAAAAAAGTGACAACCTCGCAAAAAAATGTGCTTGAAAATTTATTTCCGAACTTGCACTAATCCAAGGCTGGTATTTAGTTCGCAATTTTTTTCTAATTTTTGTTGCGATGCGATCATGCGAACTCTAAGTGAATATATTCCTTACAAGTTTATTCATTATTAATTTTTTATTCATTTCGTCTGAAGTACTTCATCAATTTGAATAATTGCAAAATTAAGTCATTATGTATAGATAAACTCACCATTAAGCAGGGATACAGATCTTCAGAACCGCACACATCCATCACGTACTGACCCGAGCTACCCAAGGCGGATTGGAAAAAGTAACCCCCATCTAGAACACGAGTTAATCACTAACCAACAGTTCTGATAAGCTTTCTTAAACAGGGAAGCAAGCCCAGACTGAAATTAAATAGTTAATTTCCAAAAAAAATTTTGGTTTGATGTACCGTCAAAATTTGTACTATTTTATTTAATATCAGTTTAAACTGATTTAAAACAAATTGAGATTAAATGTGTGCACCAGGCTTGTACAAATAAACCGCATATATGAATATCCATGTATAGTATGCAGGAGGTCATGATCCCGTCATATTAACCCAGCGGCAAATTGACCACCGAATATAAATTGGCGCTTTAGTTTTTTTTAGTAATTTAGTTTTCGCTGGATCAATTCAGTACTGAGACAATTTGGCATGGGGTAAGTTTGCCCGGGTCAATTTGGCGAAGGGTCAATTTTCCCGGGTTAATTTGACATGGAATCATGTATATGTATCTAACTTGAAGTTCAAATGGACAGAACCCTATATCATGGAACAACCCAATATTAGTGATAGGGGCCAATTGGACCGGGTCAATTTGACATGAGTCCACCAGCAATTTGTCATATTGACACGTATTTTACGGCGTGACGGCGAGCAAATTGACCATGCGGCGGTGTGAAGTGTAACCCTCCGATTTATTTGATATTTTAAAATTATGGGGTCCAGGTCAATACAACCGTTTCTTGACGCAGTTTATGCGATTGTGCGAATTTATGAAAAATTTATATATGTATGTCAAAGTTGAAAAATGGGCAATTTTTCCATTTGAGTGGAATGTTTGTGGGATTTGCTTACTCCTCTTGGTAGAAATTGGCCAATCAACTTTGACCTAAAATAAGTATTTTGATTAATTCCCCACATCGCACAGTCTAGAAAACCCAACCCCGAGGGTTTTTCCGGGGTTTTTGGGGTTTTTGTGTGTTTTTGTGGGTTTTTCCAGAATTTGGGGCAGGTTGAACCAAAATTCCTAAAATTATATATTAGAGAAAAACTAATTTAATATACGAATTTAGCGTGCAATTTTAAACGTCATCACTGATTTGGACTATTAAATCGAAAATTAATGTTTAACAGGTAAAGCTGCTTTCAAGCCGCACATGAAAATTCTCAAAATTTCATGATAAACTAGAAAATTAATTAGCATTGATCTAAGTTGTTGTTTAAAAGATTTTGTTTCAATCTACCCCAGAATCTTACAAAAACCCTGGAAAAACCCACAAAAACCCGAAAAAACCCCATTAAGCATTAGGGTTTTTCCGGAGATTTGATACCCCAAAAACCCACAAAAACCCCAAAAACCCCAACCCACAAAAACCCGGATTGGCGAACCCTGCTCGTAAGGTTGACCTCGTTTATCGGGTTCGTACGAAAGCCAAAGGGCACGAGGACCAAATTATTTATCGCAGATAAATAAGCCAAAAACAGTTACGCCGTGAGTGACGTCAACGAAACGCGAATGAAAAATAAATCAAATGCCTTATGTAACTTATGTAACCCCGCAAATGAGTTGTACTAATTCCTTATTTAAGGCTACTCGAGCTAATGATGGTGCACAAAGTGAGAGAAAGTACAATTGTTCACGTGAGTTTGGAGTAGCAGTAGGCAATTACGTGGTTAAAATTGTATGCATTATATATGAAAGCATGACGGTCAGGCAAACTACACTCTAAGAATTAGATATTGCGGTGATACAGGTACTTATGGTTTGATTATTAAAAGAAGAGACTGCCCGCCATAAGCTTTGCATGTAAAAAGTCTCTTATTTAAATGATCAAACGTTAGATGTCACTCTACTGGTTTTGGCGATCGTCATTTACTAAATCTGCAAAGTATCTTGGGGTCACAAGTTGTGGCTCACAAGGCTACCTAAGGTATAATGGCCCTGGCCGTCGGTAAAATGGCGCTTGGACCCACTAGCCGCCTATGTGAGACCTTCTACTGTGATGTGGATGTATACAATGCAAATAAAATTGTGATACAATTATCACCATTTTTATCACCGTCGCATAGTAATAACGATTATTAACAATGTGGTGACAAAATTGTCACCATAATTGTTACCCATGCGGGTAACCAGCAGAGTCTCTGTATAAGTTATAATTTGTTTACACAGTGGAAACAAATCGTCACCAAGCTTATTATCCAGGGGAGACTTTTTGTCTCCTCCTGCAAATAGTTCCACTTCGGCACTTACCGGTCTGAGTTGCGGTTCAGTTTAAGCAAGACAACTTCACGTCGCCATTATTCCAGACAATTAATTTAGCCAAAAAATGAGGAAAATCGTTCTAGTTGTCAGTCTATCTAGAGGGGATTAATGGTGATTTAGATTATCAACAATTTTCTTCCACAGGTAAAAATTTCATTTTTTAAGAAAGTAGAGAACTTGTTACTAATTTAATTTATGCTTTAGTGAAAGAAAAATATTCCTTGGATCTGGATTTACGAATCTACTTGGAGGATGAGCATGGTGCTGAAGTAGACCCGGATATTTTTCAAATATTTTTAGCCCAACAGGTCATATCACCTAATTTGGTTTTGAATGTGTGGGGGAGGAGCAACCCGTCATTTATCGTAAGTTTAATTTGAATTCAAATACTGAGAAAAATCATAAATTTTAGAGCTATGGTTTACAAATTGTTGCACAAATTCGTTTATATTTCAGTTTACGACCCATTGACGTCATCTTGGCTTTCACCACCCCAGCCAAGAGATCATTAATTAACCAATGAAGATGCTGAACTTGAGAAATGTAAAGAATTAAGTTTTTCTCGATTTAATATACATAAGGTTTACCA